AATATATTACGCTGACTCTTGGGATTATTTGATATTATAATTGGGATAAGAGCTATAGGCATAGATAATATCAGTACCACTTCGATATCTTGATATATATTGAATTTGTCTGGATTGATAAAAAAGATTTAAAAAAAATGATTGCGGAAAAAGAGATCATGATCCATTTCGATACTGATGACCGATATTTAATAGACTCATTATTGTATCAATATATAGATATTGTGGCTAAAATACATAGATATTGTTCTATATTACTGACTCCTATCGGACAGAAAGATTATGATGAGGAATTTAATCTGATACGATAACTATCATAAATAGCATATTAATATCTCGCACCATATAAAATAATTTTGTTTTATAAAAAAATATTCGTAGAGTAGATACTGTCCCATGTCACAATATCCTTATGCCTAATTAAGTATTCTAGGGGCAATAGAGGCTCCAGTAACATTGAGAAGTGGAATTAACATTACTAACGCGAGAGCTCGTCACGGTCACAGCTGATATCGACGCCGATTGCGCCATCTATCCTATATAGCATATATTAAATGGGTGCCTTTAATCATCAGACTTCCTATTGCTCTAGTTTGCATATGAATCCAAACACATTCTCTGTGTAAAAGCTTTTAATTGCGAAATGCTCAAGACTTATACATTGCAGTAAATATGTGTAAGTGCCTCCTGCTATTCAAATTACAGCGAGATTAATGAAATCGCGTAATGAAAACCACATGAACTACCTATATATATCACAGTTAAATTGAAATCATTAGCATCCTTTGTACGAGTATTCTACCAACGAAACTCAACATTTCCACCAAAGTAAATGTAAAGGTAGAAAAATGACAAACAATTTTAAGCTTCCTACACTAACACGACGCGTTCAGCTGTTGAATTAGTATGGAAGATTATATTTCTTGTCGTTTTTAGATTTTTTATTCACGAAATGTTCTATAGCGTGGGTACATTCTTAATTTTACGTAGCACTAACATTTTCGATTTTATTCATGCATATATATAATATTGTTACAGCTGTACCAGAAAATAATCTCATATAGGTATAATATAAATATATATAATACGTAAAATTTTCTCCTATATTTTTCTATTTCACTTCTTATTGTACCCATACTGCCTGCTAATAATTAATAATTAATGCTCCTTTCCACTCAAAGTTTGCTCGAAGAGAACTCTTACAGAGCTAAGCTCGCCTGTTATACATCTTTATTTTATATAGATTATAACTGTGTAATTTTTGTATACAATCAAGTATAAGTAATATATTTTTCTATATATAGTGAAAATCGTCATGATGGACCAACTGGTCTGCATTCATCACCTCTCTCACTGGTGCCGTGCCAACATATACTAATACCGCAAGCATAATTACCATTCCATTTTCACCCATAAAAACCCCTGTAGAACACACTCTTCATATAAAGAATAATATTTTGAAGAAATTACTATAGAAAAAATCCTTCAATCTTAACATTATCATGAAACCTTCATCGAATTGAGTTGGTTTTAAAACCAGTACAATTGATTGTCTTCTTTGAAATTGGTTGAAAAATAAATACTTCTTTAGTAACCTATTAAAAATTGTAAGATATTATTTATATCTTATTTTACATAAATTCTTCTAATCAAAAAGCTTTTGTTCTCTAGAATAGTTTCATCTAACAATTATATTTCATCCTACAATACAACATTTATTAAGATAAGTAGACATGAATAAGCCTATTTTGCCTTTTTATAGTTATTCACCCCAAAAAGGCAAAATGAAGCTATTGTAAGGTGTGTCTATCGCAATTATTTTACCCGGAAACAGTTTGAAGTAGAACCTTGAAAAGTCACATGCTTATGGTTATTTTCATAATGCTTGTGATGCCCATAATTATGATTTATCAGACTAGATTAAAATTATCAATATATTTTGTTGATAAAAAAATTTAGGTTGTTTATCGAAAAAAATGTTTAACTGCTTTAGATTCGAAATATTTAACGCTCGAAATGATTACATTTTGTTTCACAAAAAAATTTTCGTTATACAGACAGCAGATTCAAACATCATAAATAAAATACAAGCTGCATGCTATCTGATTGATATATTCATAATTTATTATTTTGTTCCACAAAAAAAAACACCGAATTGTTCGTGGCAAAATCAGTTATTTTAAATTAAAAACTAATCTATTGAACCAATTTTGATAATTTCCTATGGGACCAATTTGAAAGTATATTAATTCAGATAAAAAAAATGTTTATCCAAATCGGTTCATAAAGGACAGAGTTATAACAAACTTAAAAAATACAACCTAATTGAGAAACTCCTCCTTTTTTCAAGTCGTTAGAGAGACAATAGAAAAACGGGTACCCGCGTATCGTGATGAAGAAAAAATACTTTTCACCCTCGAAATATCATAATAGGCGACTAAGGAAACAAAACGCGATACACAGGCGATGGATAACTAGTAACAAAATCCTACGCCACAGAAAAAACCTACGATATGCTGCCTAGCCAGCATGGTTATAGTAAATTATCTCTCTCACCCAGTAGGTTACGGAATGTATAAAGAATATATACGTTTAATTATAATTAGAATAAAATTATCTCACTTTCCCTATGCAAAACACTTATTTAATATTAGACTAATTATATTTTCTCAATAACTTACTTATTTTTTTATTATTTAAAAGCTAGACAAAGTCTCTATAGAAATGGAGTCTGTGTCCAGCTTTTTAATCTATAGAAATATTTTTAATTAATAGCCTTATTACTCGCTATTTCTGTGAACAGCTGTTCACGTAAAAGTTATTAATTACCTTTTGTCACTCGTTGTCGGACTTTTTTTAAACAAGCTGATACATGTATTTAAAAAAGTTATTATCAAAATTATTTAAATGTTAAAAACCTAAAGTCCTAAGATGAAAGGTTTTCAAGTTCAATGGGAACACCTTTATACGTGGTCATCCTGGTAACCATCGTGATTTATTCTTAATCAATTGAATCATGGGTCATATGGACATACGGTGGACTGTGCTGAGGTGATGAAATGATGTAGACACGGAATTTAGTTACGAAATAAATGTATTAAATAGCAAGCAAGGAACAGAACAATATGATATATGTCAAAAAATATAAAATTAAAATTACAAATAATAAGAACATTTTAAAAGAAAATTTATATAAAAAAGTATAATAATGTCTAAAGAGTTTGCATGGGCCGGTCGCCAATAGGTCAACTGACCTAACTTCATCATCACATACCAGCATTTAATTGTGTCCTGCTGACTTATACCAGTAGCGCAAGTAGAGTTAACCATACCATTTTTATTCATTGAAAGAAATTCCTACGATGATAATGATCATCGATGGCGATAGCAGAGGCCCAATCTACGTAACCTTGGAATCCTGGTAAAAATACATCTAATATTTTCTCTGATACAATTAAGAAAACCCTGTGAAAGATTTATACTTAGAGGTATTAAAATACTTGTTATTTGTTTTCATTACAAGAATTGCCATGACATTGTAAATTCACTTAACAATTTTATGTAAAACACTAAGTTTGTACTGTAATAAAATAATTTAGTTCAAGCATAAGGGACTTAAGTACCTAAAATTATTTTATCTGTATGTGACTTTAGAATGGTTTAATAATCTAACTAAATAGTTGTTTACTAGGCTTGTAGCAAACAATTAACAATTCTATTATTGTCAAATAATTCATAAACTGTAAGGTAATAAAGGACATGTCTCGTTCAGTCACGTAGATACTCATTGGGACTTGAAACGTTGTACACATCAACGAAGATCTTTGTGGCTACAGTTCTCAACTTTGAAAACTTTAATCACAAGCTAGTACGCATATATAGAAATCACCTAAATCGATGTATCCAAGGCATACCGAGAACATTACAATTTTTGTTTTTTTATAACACAAGGGGCAAACAAGCGTGCAGCTGATAGTATGTGACTACCGCCACCTTGAGCACTCCCAACATCGGAAGAATTGCAGGTGTACTATCGGAGTTTTAAAAAGGAATATGTTCTTTTCTTGAAGCGTACGATGTCATATAATTTAAATTACTGCTGCTGGAAATTTCTTGTTATAAGCAATGTTTAGAATAACGTGATCGTTTCTTTACGAAAGTCTTAATTTGTTTAGGAATTCGTTACTAGGTATTAAGAGGTAACATGCTCAATTTCACATTTATTTTTTAATATTAGTAAACACTAGTCTGTCTGGTAAAATTGACATTTGATTATGACACACACAGTATACCTTTTTTATTTTTAAAAGGATATTCTCATATCTTACTATAAAATACATTTATTTAAATATATAAGTAATCCATTTTGTAAAAGAGAGCACCTGATCTCCAAAACATAGGCTTTGCCCAGTTTTGTTTAGCTAGGGGCTCAAAATAATTCGCCGAAGTGTTTGCTTTGTTCTTTTATTTTAGGCATATAATTCTGTATAAAGTATACATAAATTATATTTTGTTCTTTAGTTTTCGTATATTTACATTTTGGTAAAAACCTTTGGTAAATCTATAAAAAATATTAATAGTCGTAGTAATCATGATTCTTCAATCAATTGAACGTAAAAAGAAAACAATATCTTTGAAAATATCTTAAACAACGAAACCGGTATCTTGACCGATAAGTCGGGTTTAAACCATGCTTAAAAAAAAGAAAGTTCTCGATTCAATTGTATTATATCTTCTTTATTATGTTTGTTCCCTCATAACTCCGTTAGTTATAAATCGATTTGAAAATTATTTTTTTATCTAAAATGATATGCCTACTATAGACTGATCCCATAGAAATTTTATCAAAATCTAACCTGTTATTTGAATTTAAAAGCTAAAGTACTGAACCGATTTTGATAAAATTTGTATGAGATCAATCTGGTAAAAAAGGAATTATCGAAATCAGGTTATATAACTCACTTCGTTCCTACTTAATAGGTACATTATTATATTTTCAGATAGGGCCGATTCCAGATATATCATGGAAATTGGGAGGAGCAAAAATACAATTACAACCTACCAACAACATTGCGATTCATGTTACACCGCCGCCGGACGACGAAGATGACGACGAATTCGTGCCGCCGCTGCGTGTACGCAGAAAACTCAGCACCCCTCTCAGCGCGCTGTCGGGCGCAAGTGACAGACTTATTAATATATCACGTAAGATATTTTTTAACATAAAATTTGATGTTGTGGGTGATCATTGGCGGAGGTAGTGACTTACCATCAAGTGAATCACAAGCTCGTCGGCCCGCTGTGTTAAAAAAAGTTTTGTATTAAAAGGATCGAAAGTGTATATTTTAACTGTAACTTTACTGTACTTAACTATGTACCCATATTTGTTGAGAATATCAATATCAATACACACTACGTAGTCTGATATTATAAAACAAGTGTTACTATAATATACCTAATGAAAAGATAACTACATTTTATACTAATAATTACATTTCAACAACAACAAATTAACAATTACAGTCACATCAATTATTCGTTTAAGTTCTATTAATATAAACTACACTCATGTGAGTGTGTCTCCCTCTGGTGACAATAGTTTCTAGACGGCCTTTATTATATACAAAGACCTTTAAACAAGTAATTACATAGTAATTTATCTACCGCCGTTCCTAAATAAATTTCTTACAAACTCACAAAATTAATTGAGTATTCTCGACAAATAAATTAAGTTGCAAATAAATCCAGCTGTTATCACAATTACAATATTGCGGCCGGATATAATAATATAAAGTATTTAAAGTTTATAAGAATTTTCTAAGTTGAAATTGTTTCAAACAAACAAATTAAAGTATTTTTGGTTTAATAGGAGTTTTTAATAAGAGCAATAAAAACCGAAACAATATTTTTTAATTTTTTTTCTGTCTGTCTATATGTTTCGGCATCACACAAAACTACTGCGCCAAACTGAATTTAATTTTCACAATTATGTTCCTGATTGTCTAAAATAAAAACTGGTTATATTTTCTATTGATACCCCATCTAGAAATTATATATTTCTATGGTTTTCCTAGTTCTGAAATCCACGCATATGCAATAACGATAGGTAATTATAAAAAAAAATATTTACTTTCTATACATTAATACTCCAAAACAATAATTGTCTATCGTGTCTTATGTAATTCATTATGTTTATCTTATATATGTATTAAGATAAAAAATATCTACAAAAATGGAAATGATAAATATAAACACATGTTCTAATAACTTGTTATAACTATTCAGACTAGGTTTAGTAACTGTCTCACTAAAAGGGTTTAAATGTTTTCCAGTTTACCATTTATAGTCTGCTATTAAATTAGTTATCAACCTTCGAATAACTCGATTCGCTGCAATTCGATTATAAATCTAATTTACAAAAAAAAATGTACCCAATTTCACAACGCTTGAAGTCGAAATTACACCTGTCTTACCGTCACATACACGATTACTATCGATGGGGAACATTTATTATTTAAAATATAAGTTATTTTACAGTGATTTTTAGGTTAGAAATATATCTACAAATAGCCCTTGCGACTGACTATGAGTCACACGTATATATTCAAAAATAATTAAAAATTTTTCATCTATTATTAATGTACTAGTATATCAATAACATTGTAGATGTCCATAAGCAGTAGCTCAACTAATAACAATACTTACCCCGGATTGATGTAGAAAAATATGTACTTAAATGCCGCCTGCTTCGATTTTTTCTAATCTCATAATAAGTATTTTAATATAATATTTACACTTCAATAGTATTTGTAATTCGTATTTAATAATTTGCCAAATGTATTAACGTAAATGTACCTAAATGTCCAGAGAGAAATTTCATTCTAATATTAACGCTATCTTTCGATTACTAAGAATGGGCTTTTATACGCACGAGCACGGGAAATACAGAGTTTCATATTTTTAATGAAATTCTCTCGAAATTCATTTGTTTGACGACCTTGATAGTGTGATGGTTTAACAACACCGTCTCACGTTCTGATGGTCTCAAATTCAAACCCCGCGTAATATTCTTGAATACCTCTTTGTATAAGTCTGAGTGTTATCCAGATATAATTTTTAATATAAATATTTACAAAAAAAAAGCATATAATCCTATTAACAGACAGTGCTTGTAATGTGCACAGTACAAATAGCACCATTTAGTTTCTAATCAATTAGAAACTAAATGGTGCTATGTAAAAGGGCCTATAGTATTGTAATGTAATGTAAATTGGACTCTCTTTTCTCTCTCTCTCGGACCGTGGTGCGTATGAGTCGTGGCTAGTACAGCCAACCCAGCTCCGCCCAGAAGCACAGAAGCTTCCTGGTATCTTTACGGATCTCACCGTTCCAAAGATTTCTAAACGTTGATAGGCCACAGCTTCACATTCCAGGATTACATGAGCAGCCGTTTCTTCGGCATCGAAATAGCCTCGACATAGAGGCCTGACTGTGGCTCCTATTGTGTTTTTTTTTTTATACAACTTAGAATGGCAAACAAGCTGAAGGCCCATAAATATTATTTATTATTTACTAAAAACTAATTCGATTTTTATAATACTAAAATGTACTATTAATGATAAGTTGTATTCTTGGTATACAGAAGCGCGTACGACTCAATCTCATTCACTCTCGCCTCTGGACCGCACCAAGCGTCGATTTAGTACCATGGTGTCAAGCGCGGCAGCAGCGGCGGTGTCTCGAAGACTCTCCGCAACCATAGGCTGGTGTCTCGCCACCCACACACAAGTAAAGCCTCAGATCGTGAGGCAAGGTCGTGCCTTATGTCTCCAATACATAAAAACACAAATCCGAAGATCTTCAGTTTGCCAGAAAAAAAAAGGAAAATAACATTAGGAAAATATTTATTAAAAATCGTTTAAAAAAAATATTACATTAAAAATAAGTACAGATAAAAATATAGTATGGTATGATCAGAATTATTATATATATATTTTTTTAATTTTCTATATAAATATGATGAAAAAATAGTATGTGTGGACTAAAAATAGTACATATATCAATACAAAAAATGTTTGCTTACATTTTGAAAAAAAATGTTTTGATTGATTAATACCTACTAATGCCTACTATGTTTTGTGATTTCCAACCATTCCCAGATATTCAGTTTTATCCTCTTACCGTATATGTGTTCAATTTGGTGCGCATTTTTATTATTAACACTATAGCCATTGTCTATAGCTCCTCACTAGCTTTACATTATATATATTTTTTATAATTTTCCATATAAATACACGCTCTTAAAAAATATTGAAAAAATAGTGCTGGTTTTAAGTGGCTGTCTCTTGAGGTGCACTGACTTAAAATAATACATATATTCAATACATATCCAGTTATAATAGGGAACAATTGCATAGACGTGTGATGGGGGGAACATATTTGAAAAAAAAATGTAAGTATGTAAGTAGTATAACGTGGAATTTATATACGATCAAATATTATTTGATGCAACTATTGTTGTCAAACACATTTGATAATTTTTATAAATAAAATTAAATATAAATAAATTATAAATAAAATTAGTAGGCATTTTTTTTTTACAAAGGCCTATACTCGTATTTATTCCAAGAGGAAAACAGAAGAAGGAAGCTCATTAGCTCATATTACGAGCCTTAACTAGTATTAGTTTACCATATTATGCTTACTTACATACAATTTTTTTAACTTGTTCCACCCATCACACATCTATGCAATTGTTGTAGTTAGATATGTACTCATTTTTTAAATGAAATTTGGGATACGGATAGGATTTATCCTTACTTATCACATAGATTCACGCGGATGGAATCGCAGGATACAGTTAGTATTCTTATAAAGTTGTAACTGAAATTTTTTATGATGATGGCAAAATGTGTTTGAAAAAATATAAAGCACAATATGATGTAGGCATAAAGTTTTATATGGAAGATTTATATGCACTACATATCTATAATTCTATGGTTCACTAGCAGAGTAGTTTTTAAGTAATCAACCAGAAATATTAAAAAATGTTTTACTTCGTATTTTTTTATAAATGGAGACTTCGGAAAGTTGTTATCTGTTGAGGAGATCCCGCAAGAAAGTCAACAGTTATTCTTTCAAATCTGTGTTAACATTATGTATATTTATTTAAATGCACTATGTCTAAAATTACATGGTCATTAAAGAGCCCATGCATAATCAAAATGACAAATGTGCATGTACATCATGCACATTTGTCATTCCAGTAATCGTTTAGTTTGTTTGTTCAATAAATTTTTTAATAATTATTTTTATCTAATTTTAAAATCATTGAGATCTTATGGAAATCGCTGTATAAATAAAATATTTGAACACCATTACAAAGTTGCCCTTTAATAATATTAGTGCGATTGTAAAACTAGTTATATCCTATGGCACTGTACTTATAAATTGATAATAATAATAATAAATCATTTATTCAGCTACAAAACATATCAATATAAATGACAACTTTAAACATTTAATGGTAGTAGCTCAAAAGGCTCAAAATTGTCCCCACTCAGATTAAGCTGCAGCGTACATATTACTGCAGCGCTGATTTTCAGTGGGAAGTGGCAGTTAAATTTATAATATACTTAATATATGTTAACTGGGTCTTATAGTTGATACCAATGTCATAATTATGAATATAATAATATAGTATTTATTGTATAACATATACAATACAAGAACGTATAATGAAGATAAATGGAATAATTATGTATAGTTGTGTTATGTAAACTGTTTTTGTACTTGAAACAAATGTGTTTTAACGATATTTAAAAGAGGAAACTGAAATGGAACTAATAACTAGAAGAGGTAAATTATTCCAACATTTCGTGGCAGAATATTTAAAACTTCCACGAAATGCTACAATTTTGTATGTGGGGTGTAGATATATGGGTGGTATCAAATAAGGATGTGAGATTCTATAGCTACGCGCCAAAAATGAAAGCTTCTCAAATAAATAAGTTTTTTTTTTTTTTTATTATTCTAAGAAGCAACACCGCAAAACGAAATTATGATGAAAAATATCCTTTGTTGATTTAGGATTTGGTCTATCTGTGTGTAAAGTTTTATTACATTCTACCGTTTAGTAACAAACGTCCAAACACCCAAATTCCATATTTGTAATATTAAGTAGAACTAACAGTTCCGGCAACTTTTTCTCCATGAATTATAATAAAAAGTAGGCTCCATATTGAGCAAGATACATTCTGTTTCAAATTTTATTCAAACCAAATCCATTCATTCATTTAAATTTCATTGGGTAGCAACATACAGATATATTTACAAAATTTCTTCTATAATATTAGTATACTAGTAATACGACCCGATCGGGGGAAGGGATTATTAGTAATGGGAAGGTTAGTCTCCATCGCTATCAATAACTAATTCAGTGACTAATTTATCGTTGAACTCGTCACGATGGGCTGACTGACCTGCCTTTTCATCCTCCCAAGAACCAATTATCTCTCACTGGTGCCCCGCTAGTGTATACCGATAGCGCAGGCAAATATCGTTCCATTATCATCCATCAAAAAAAATATGACCCGATCACGCATACATGCAAATTACAGGTAAACCTTCTCTACAAAAATATCTAAAAAATGTCATTTAAAAACTCATATCAAAATTCATTACGTAATTGTAAGAAATAAATGGAAAAATTGCCGTGGATAGCAACTTTGTTTTATACTATTGGGGTTCTTTTTTATTTATTTATTAGACTCATAAAACAGAGCGTAACTATAAAAAAAATTAAGTAGTAGTTACATTTGTGATTTGACTAGGTTACAATCCTATTACATTATGTGCACAAGTGCTTAAGTAATTCATGTAAAGCAAGCACATAAAAGCCTATATAAATATATAAAAGATAACACTATATAACAAAAAAATCATCTATTCAATTATATCTTACAAAATAGAGAACAAGTTTTTTCTAAAGAGTAAATATTTTGTACCGAATATATTGATGAATATGCGGTCGAGCAGTAAGGTAAGTGGACACATCCTTACCACAGGATCGTAATAAGAAGCGTTATTTCTATAGACTTGTAATATATTTTTGAGTAGGATTACATGCTTTGTACCTCGTATTAAAATTCAAATTTAGCAGTAATGATGGCAAATGTATGACGTTATGAATGATTTTACACAGTCAGTATGTCACTACGCTGACGACGTTTCTCTAGAGATGTAATATGAAAGTGTTCAAATTTGTTTTCATAAGAGCTCAATTTGCGAAGCAAGCCCGTTCGAAATGCGAGTATATTAAAGTATTTTTGCTGAATATTCTCAAAATTAATATAGTATAAGGTTTTTTTATTACAAATATTATAAAAGTACTCGTAGCTCACAGATACTATTATATATATATATATTAGTATCTATCTGTATCTTTGTTCTGTTATTACGCAAAACTTTTGCACTAAATTAGATATAGCTTTTACAGATACATCAAAGTTTCAAACTTAAAATCTAATGTATATTTTATCTTGATATGCCATCTACAAGTTCTCTATTTCAATAGTTTTCTATTCTACGAAATCCACGTGTACGAAGTTTCAGACAAACAAATATTAAATAATGAGGTACACTGTACCATTCATTCTACCCTCCACCACCCTTTACTTATTAAGTATTCTGAGCCTTTGCTGCCTGCCTTACAAGGTCAAATTGCCGACAAAAGGCGCAATTTTTACAACATAACAGTTCTGTATTCATATGTAGGCACTTTATTATAAAAATTACGATGAATACGCTTACATTTCTACAACCTTTGAAACTCAAAGGCAATAACTAGTGACAGCTTGAAATACCGCCACAAGAATAAACATCAAATATTTAACAATTACCTTCAGGCGTATTCAACAAATTCAACAGACGATTTTTCTCTATTTAATTAGGTGCCATGTAACTAAGTACTTAGTTACTTAAAAAATGGAGCTGTACACATTTTATATTGTCGGTATTTTTTTAAACGTTTTTATTCCTTTTTCGACCCATTTCAAAAAAATAATTTTTAGTACACTAGATATACAAGTACTGCTCCAAATTCACATCCAGTTGTTTGCTTGACGATGAATAAATCAAGTCGACCTCCACGCGGTTTCCCTGGAAACCATCGTGGTTAATTTTTGATGAATTCATCACGATGAGCCAACTGACCTACTTCATCCTCACCTATCATCCCTCACTGGTGCCCCTGCCAGCATATCTCGATAGCGCAGGCGGGGTGACCATTCATACATTAACAAAAACTCATAAGTTGCTATATCTAACGTCTTATCTCCTTTGTAACCAATTATTTTACTTCCACATCCTATCGGTAAAATCGAAATACAGGCATGCAAGCACAATTGCTAATAAAGGGACAAAATTTCCCCTTGACATTACCATAGGACCTGTCAGAATATCAGCACTTCTAACAATAAATAATGTGCCCGCTGTTGATGGTACCCTCTAGTCATTTTTAGGGTTCCATCCCTCCAAAAAAATAACGGAAACTTTATAGAATCACTTCGTTGTCCATCCGTGCGTCCGTCTGTCAAGACTTTTTATCTTAGGAACGCGTGGAGGTATTAACTTTAAATTAATATCATATACTCAGGTCTACAATTTCTTAGTGGTAAAAAAATCAAGCTTCTAAATCGACGCAATCAAAAGATACGGCCATTTATGTCCCGTTTATGTCGCATAATTTGCGTTTTTTTTTTTATTCTGGACATTATTCTTCTGAACAAAAATATTCAATGTGTACTTCTCATAAGAAATTGTTTTGTGGTAGTAATTTTTTTCTATTCCTTACTATTCTATGCAGTCTTTAATACAAAATCTTTCTTTGACAGATAATAGTGATGAAACGAATAGAAGGGATGCTGGAGACGGAATGTGGGGAAGAAGCACAGACTAATATTGAGACGGGTGTGCTATCAGCGCTTCGAGCGCTGTGTGCAGCTTTAGAGAGGAAGCGACCAGATGCCTTCCGTCATGTGGCGAGACAAGCGACAAGAGCGCCTACAGCCATGCTGCGATCCGATACCGCATTAGCCGAACTGTCACTAGCACTAGCTAGGCGAATCACCAGGGAGAATATCACGTGGTCTAAGGTTGGTATAAAGAGGGTGTACATGGTTAACACAGTATGTTCCGTGTGTGTGTGTATGTGTCCATAATTATATTCCTGTCTTTAAGCAGCGATTTGGCCACCTAATCAAAAATAATCACTGTTGCCTATCATCATCATCAAATCAATCGTGGCCTGTAAAAAAGAACACCAATGTGGGCTTCACAGAATACACTGTGACACTTGAATCAAACATAGTTATATTATTTGCTCTTACATATGCAGGCATAGCTACTGGACAGCAGAAAATACGAGTAAAATATGATCTATATGAGTATACCCCATATTCATACACAGAATTTTTATCAAAGCTCTCTGGTAAAAAATACCACATACCACCAATTATACTGTTTTAATAATATATTCAACTATATCGTCATTATAAATAATTCTTAAAAATTATGTAAATAAAGCAAAAAATAACATTCTTAAGTACCCACTTACTGTAATTCTATTTCTTTATTTGATTTCCAATGTCGACTATTGTTTAGAAATAGAAATATTACTATAATATTGAATAGATATCCCTTGTTTAGTTAACTAATAATAAATAGGTAGTATTAAGTATAATGTGGCTTACCGAGACTTTATTTTTTACAAAAAAATACAAGACAAAGCAGAACTTGTAAACAATCGTCCAATTAGAGCCTTTTATAAACAGCTACCTGCATTTAAATTCTCATTTTAATTAGACCTACGAACAATGCTTTCGATTAAACAAACGAACATACCCTCTGTTGTATCTCAGCGCCAAGTTCTATAGTAAATATTATTATATAGGATAATAACTTGATCAATTATTCATGAAGCTATTGACGCATTTAAATATAATTTTATAGTTTTACAATATCTTCTATGGCCTAGACTTGACTTAATGATCACTTTTTATTTCTAGACACATCAACCAAGAGATAAATTATTCGCAGTCGCGCCATACTTATGCGCGAATTTTTGTTCACTTATTTATTGTATATGTTTCATCGAAACAAAAATATTAAAGATTTTATGGAAATAATGGCAGATATCGGATAATCTGATCCATAACCTTTTCTTCTCGAATAACCGTATTGATATGACAATAGTTTCCGTGAGCCGTCGGTTTACTAAAGTAAAATGATTTTAATATTTTTGATAACAATTTAAAATACCATTATATTGTTTGAAAACACTAAATATACAAAAAGTAGCACACATGTTTAATCTATTGTCCCTCGCCTATTACTTTACCACATCTCACTCACTAGTACTCCGCTAGTGTATACCGATATAACAGAAGGATTACTAGCCCATCATCATTCATAAAAAAATACACACGTTACTACATTACACTGTAAACTGTTTTAAAAATATTTAAGTATAACTTATAATATATTTCAGATAGCAGCTGTATATTGCGTCTGTGGGGCATTAGCCCGTGAAGCAGCTGAAGCTGTAGATGAAGAACCCGCCCTCGAGTTGGTAGCGGCGCCGGCAGCTGCCATTGCTGACCTTTTGCACGAGGAAACTGGCTCCTGGATATCTTCTAATGGTGGATGGGTAATATCAAATAATACACAATCCGACAATCTGTCTCTCGAGCTCATTAATAAAATCTAAATAAAGTATTTTACTTTTCTACAAACGCTTCACCAGAAACAGCGTAACCTTTTTACTCTTGAGTAAATATAATTTTTATTGTTATAACTGAAATTCACATTTTGTTCTATTAAAAAAAAAGATTGTTTTAGTTTTTAAATATGCATGCTCCATCTAGAAATGCACGGCTTAGCCTGTCCGTATATCACATCATCAAAACATTTTCATCTTTTATCTTCGTCTTTAAAAAGTTTATTGAAACTAACAGAAGATAAAATATATTTTCTGTCAGTTTCAATAAACTTTCAGGAATATTAGATTATAGATTAGAGATCCTATGAGGACATTTGAATGATAATAGTTGCGGGTTCGATCCCCATACATTTATATTCATGAATTATGTCTGGGTGTTATCTTTATATTATGCCGATGTATGTATTTAATTAGGCATACAAGTTATATAGATACGTTGTACGACACACTTTTGTATGGCTCATAAATACATTATTCGCAAATACAATGGGTGTAATCATACTAATATTTATAAATATGAAAGTGAGTTTGTTTGTTTTTACTCTATAGCACCTTAACGGCTTAACCAACCACTATGTAATTTGGTATACACGTACTGTAGGGGATAGAGAAGAATATAACAGAAAACTTATCACGATCACGCGGACGAAGTCACGAGTAAAAAGTAGTTTGATTATAATTTTACAAGATGTAATTTATTTCTCTTCTTTATTAGGTGCACTCTAAAGATACTGGGGGAAAGGGATTGTTAGTAATGGAGACTGAGAATCCTATTGCTAGCAATATACCAAACAAGATCGACCTCCTCGCGGTTCTCCCTGAAAACTATCATGGTTAATTTCTGATGAATTCATCATGATGGGCTATCTGGCCTGTTTTCATTCTCATCTATCACCCTTCACTGGTGCTCCGCCAGCGTATCCCGTTAGCGCAGGCGGGGTTTACCATACCATTTTCACCCATCAAAAAAAAACACTTAAGATACACGTATAGATTAACGATTTTTATGTCATATACCATTATAAGTACGTAATAAATTATAAACCTTAGATAAAACCAACAGTAAAATTTTTATCACTACTACCCACCTAGTAGTGGATAAGACACATAACTCCTAGTGTTAACCGCAAGCGATATCAAGTGCTATAAGTCACACACTCACAGTTCAATATCTGCTAACTTATATCTATGTATTTATAGTTAAATTATATAGGTGCCCATACAAAATACACCTAATATTACGTATATAACAAAAACTTACCTACACATACATAAATATTTTTACTAATACCCTTCTGTTTTTCTAAAAATATTCTAATATTTAGTTTTACATATATTACTATCCTTACATATCTCTCACTATTGAAAAGAAAAATAAAAATTAAAAAATGAAGAATATAAAAATTAATAGTAATTATATATGTATTTTTTGTTGGTGATCAGTAAACTATTTATCAATAATATCATAATAAGTACATTATATCTAATGTAAATAAATATATGTAAGAGATAAAATATCATTCATATCTATGTGTATTATTTATTTTACAGAATGGGTTGATAGAACGACTACGTGCCAGTGAGTGTGACCAAAGATCTGAGAAGCATCTACAAATGTTGGTTACGTTTTTTGTCGTAACATGCTTTGTGCTTCTTTTTCTAAGATGGGTCCTACATTTACATCCCGCTTATTATGATAATCATAACCAGACGTAATATCTTTGTCAATTCTAGAAAGGGAACCACTTTGGATTGTAGTCACACCTATATACGAGGTGGAATCGTATTCATATCGTTTTAAAAGAGTATTCTACTACTGATACATTTTATAAAATAAATGTAATATTTAAAATACCTACGACAACAAAATTATAAACCGTGTTATAGGACTACCTTTATACAAATGTAATATGACGTGTTTAAACTTTTGTTTTTTCTGTCGCTTTAAAACATAAATTTAAAAAAATAAAATCTATTTCATGTGCAAAGCAAATTCTAATTGCATAGTAATATATCTTTAATTTTAATATACGAATATGGCTGATGTAAAAATAAAGATTGCTCTTGTTTCCTAATGTTCATAAACTTAATGTATCCGATTCATACAAATAGAACCTTACCTGCATCTATCGTTACGAAACACAAAATATCATGAAATTACGTATGATTTATCGCAAAATTTTATCATGCTAATATAACTATTGACATTTTCATTAATTACTGCGCAAAAATACAAATTATGTCGCAGCTAGCAACATATTTTTCTTCTAATTCAATTCTAATGATTATTCATTATAATTCTTCGAAAATATCTAAATCCTACACGTATTCTAATCATTTAGTCAGTCAGAAACTAACAGACTAAATGAACAGTCCTAATCTAACTAATAATTATGCAATAACTAGCGTATTAAAATTCTTTATACCTTATTGTGTGCAGTACAAATTTAGCAACAATAAACGATAATGGTTGATCATGTATCACGTCTACTTGTATTTATTAAGTCATTACACGAATTTTTGTGAGGATTGACATAGGTACAGCTCTAGCATAACACTTAAATTGTATGACGAAGTTAAAAAATAACTAGCAGTACATAAAAAAAATATTCCTTTTAATGGCAGTATGTTATAATTATCTTTATGTTGTTTAAATGAGTGTGATTTATATATCAATTATTCAAAAAATACATTTTATTTACAATAGATTATAACATTATTAGTATCTTACTAAAACGTCACAATATCAATTAATTCACATTGTAATATTTTTATTAAGTAATTATTTATTATAATATACCAATACCTATTTATATTTACATACAGTAACTTTTATGTACTTAGATATACATTTGAGGTAGGTAGGTATACGTATAAATACTAAAGAAACAATTGTACTTACTAGTTTAATTTTAAGGAAAGTGCTTCATCAAACTTCTTAGAGGTAAATACCATAACAATGTTAGTTTGGTAATAGAAGTACCCAGTACCTACTACTTTTCCTAAGGTTTGGATTAATTTGTGAATATAATCATGGCCACAAACTATATAAAGACCTTGTCATGTAAGACAAATAAATAGCTAAGTATTGACAATTCTATATATGTACCTAAAGTAAGTAAAGTTATTGTAAGTATTTATTAATTATTAAAGTGTTATCAACATATTTTTACTTTTCTTTTCCCACTCAGACACCCTAACAAAACCGAATTTATTTTTCCTTATATAGTATTTCGTCGTGTGGTTTCAGAATAGAATGGGTTACCGGTTCCTTTCCCGTGGGTGGCATAAAAGGTGAATAAGGGTCCTTAATGGTCTATGACACGCCTGCCAAGCGTGGCCACTACTGACATACAAATAGAGGGAGGCCTATATTCAGCAGTGGACAGTTAACAGATGATGAATATAGCTATAAATTTTGAATATGCTGAATATTTAGTAGGTTCTTATTTAATTTTTTCCCACTCTACCACATTTAAAAATAGATTATTAGGTTGAACAAAACTCTTCGTAATTGTTTGTCTAATGGATCTCTTATTCAGCTGAAACATTAGTAAAGTGGTTATAATAATTGAGCGTTTAAGTAATTTTAGACCAGCAACAATTTCTTCAGCCGCGTTTCAAGTCAAGTTTGTTTCTATGGGACCAAAACAGTAATATACCTTATTAAATTAAAAATTATTTTAAAATAGGTCCAATTGACGTTGACAAAGATATCATCTAAAACACTTATAAACAGACGAATTTAATACAGTGAAATATCTTTCATAAAATTACTTATTTTTGTTGTCATTATACAAAATAATAGGTTTAATATCTCTACATATAGTTCTCTAGCCTCCTTGTCACCGCTGATTCAAGCATGTGACCAGGTTCAACTAAAGCATGTGATAGTTCTGGTGTTCTAATAAAATCAGAAATTGAGTCAACGAAAGGTTTACAAAGAGGAAGTGTTAAAAATAGTTTTAGACCAATTTTTCAAATATGTGTGAACCGAAGCACCTGGTAACTAGCTTGGTCCGCTTAACTCAGTTCAAATACGGGCTATGAGAATTGTCGACGGTCTCAAGCTCACCGGCGTTACCTGATAACGCCGGTGAGCTTAAGATCGTCCTTAAATTGTTACCTTGTCTTTTTTTTGGTAAGTAGTTAGCGTTGCCTATAGACATAAGCATTAGCTTATGGTACATAAGAGAATATATTGTTTCGCCCACGATAATTTCTTCGACTAAGGTGTTATGCCTCTGTACCCTGTAAATTCACTGTTATATCCCACCCTTCATACCGAAACAGTTTAAGGCGAGACTTTAGTTTTTCTTTTATAAAATATATTTTTCTTACTTTTTATGTAATCGTCTTTGATGATGCCCACGATAATTTCTTCGATATGTTCTATGCCTCTGTACCCTGTAAATTCACTGTTATATCCCACCCTTCATACCGAAACAGTTTAAGGCGAGACTTTACCTTCCTTTATATGTTCTACCGCTTGTATAATTGATTGTATACTGAAAAATTGTTGAAATGATGGCTACAACTTTTATCATCACGCAGCTCGCTATCTATAAGAATTTCATCCTCACACACTTGAACCTAAATAGTCCCGTACAGTGCGGATTCAAATGAAGCTTCTCCCGCAAACGCTCAGGATGTAGAATAAGCACCCTAACAAGGTTTTCCCAAAACTACAGTATGTGGTTTTTCAAAAAGGGTGTATTAAACTTTTTTCAGGGTCAATACCGGATTTGCAACACCTCTAGTTTTGCAGGCAGCTATAGGCTGCAGTGACCTTTAACTATCAGACGGACTGTATGCTTAATTGCTACCTTCGTAGTACAAAAAAAATTGTACAAGTAATAATTCATATAAATTATTATTACTCTAATTATTAAATCTATTATTGGTTTTCTCTACCTACCCAAGTAAGAGTCCTGACATTAAGTTAAACAGAATCATAAACTAAAAATCGTTGTTAAAATTTTTCTGCTCAATAAACCATTGTGCCAACAAAATCGTACTTTGATTCAGTAAAATACATTTGGTACGGCAACTTTATACACTAATAGGTGCTTAGATTATAAAGTATGTTATACTAAGCCTATGAATAGGTATAATATCGGATTTCCCTTCCACATGATGGAGAGATCTCGAATGTATTCCGCCGCTTGAAACCCTTACGAAAATCGAAAAGGTTCACAAGTGACCCCCACAAATAACTAGACTAACTCTCTGGACATAATATACACGACTGTAATCCCCAGTGCTTGTCCACTGCCATTCCATGTCATTTCATTTGAATCAAACATGACAGAACGAACTTACCGCCGTCTCTTGAATTAATTTATTTGTTAGAGGTGTTTTCCATCGCTAAAACTGTACCTATTGTCTATTTCAATGAAACTTAATAAAAAGGTAACCAAATTTTCTTATCACAGAAACATTGTTTAAATGAAATTAGTAATAAATTGAAACATTCAATCAATTAATCGATTTTTCATTTATTACTGCTATTGAACATCAGCAAATTATAAGATTCGAACTCACGACCTTTAAATATTTCTAAAATCCAAAAGAACAAACGTATCATAAAGAGACTCTAGATTCAATTTCAATCAGATAATAATTAATATGCTTATCATATACGTCGTTATTTAAAAACCTTATGACACACAAAAAACAAAAAATGCACAAGCATCATAAAAAAATATATACATAATAAAATGCTAACCCCGTTTGTATTAACGGTTTATGCTGGCAACACCAGTGAGGAATAAAGAAATAGACTGATCAGTAGGCCTTCGGTACCAAATTCAACGATCATTAACCACGATGAATTCTCTGGAATTGGACCACAAGATTGTCAACCTAACAAGATATGTTAATAGCATTGAGACTGCTACTCCCTGTTACTAAAAATCGCTTTTTATCTTTGGGTTTGGGGTTAATTACCGTTTATTACAAACTATAATAAAAACATTATAAAGCAATAAAAAAATCTTTTTTTGGTATTTCCAGACATTTATAGGTGAATTAACAAGACTCCTCCAGTTTCTTCTTTCTCCGTTTAATTATTCCGCAAAAAATGTAAACAGCTACTTCAATACACAAATTGGCAATAAACAATTGGCACTAAAACACACACACACACAAAACAATCGTATCGTAAATAAGAAACTGTGCAGAAATTTATCCGCCAATTACATAGTTTAAAATCGTTTTCAAATTATATTTCCCATATCTGTAATCTTATACTGTGACACTTTGTTATCACTAATTTATTATTAATTCTGGGTAATATCGTTTTATGGGGGGTTATATCTTCATCTAAAGATAAAAACTATATGTAAGAATATATATAAATATTAGTAATAGCACAGTATATTGGGGAGAAGTGATTGTTAGTAATGCGAACTACCAGTCCCATTGCTAGCAATATGCCGTCATATCGACCTCGACACAGTCCCCTTGAAAAGTATCATATGAATTCCTGGTTTATTCATCACGATGGGCTAATTGACCTGACCTTTCATCTCACCTATCATCCCTCACTAGTGGCCCGCCAACATATACCAATTAGCTCAAGACACAGAGTAAGTAAATCATTCCATTAAAACACATAAAAAATAGCTCAGTATAATGCTAAGAACAAGAAATTAGAATCCGAAATCTTTGGTTTTTGGTATAATCAAAGATATACTCAAATATTTTGAAAGAGAATGTTCTTAAAGTATAATAGTTGTACCTGCTAAAACAATAGTAATTAATCTGAGGTTTAACATAGATTAAGAATAGTAACTGATTCTCTTTCTACGTAATAAATCGTAAGATTTAAATGAAGGATAATATCTCTCTGCTGTATAAAAAAAACCGCAGGTTCAATCCATAATCTATGATCTGTGGTAATAAATCTATAAATAGATAGGTAAGTATTTACATGGTATTATAGATATACATAAATTTACACAAATTTATGCTATAGACACGTTTACGGTGCAGTTATTAGAATCAGTAACATCAGTCAGTAGAAAAACACGTATCTCTCGTTTGTCAAAATTGAGAAATAGTTATAAAGCTGGCAATATATATTGTCTATAGGTGTACTCTATTATCTATGAAAAAAAATAAAAGTCTATGATTCATTGAAAATTATAGACGAGAGGAAGGAGAGAAATGGAAAAAATCCTTTTAAATGTGTTCTAGTACATTAAAGTTTATGTGAATAATTCTACAGTAAATCATTTAACTATCCGTAAGTTATTATAGTTACTTAAAAACGGTTTACAATAAAAATATCAATATTAAATACTATGAACACGACTAGGAGTGAAAGAGATGTCCGATTCTGATTGTAATATTTGTCACTGTCACAGGCTTTATTTCTCGTACTCTTTTCTAATTCAATGTTCATAGATACCCTGTTTCGTGTTTATATATCATTTCGTTTAAAATAGCATAAAAAAATTAACACATCTTGTATTCTTTATACTAATCTACAAACAACTAACAAAGCTACTATTAAGTCATTCCGATGTACTGATCTGTGTCTGTTTATGAATTGAATGACGTTTCCTTTGCTTTATACACACTAAATAATAATTTCAGATGTAAATGAGAGCAACAATGAAATATTCCTGTAACTGCAAATGAACAGTGAAGAAAGTTTGTTATCTATTTAGTGTTTTGTTGGTGTCAATTTTTAGCCGCAAAAATGAAGAGTGCGTTGCCGAAGGATAAACCAGGCAAAATGCGAATCAGAGCTTTTCCCGTAAGTTGTGAAAGTTAACTATTTTTAATCTAGATATTTCATTATATATTTTCAGTAACAATCTTCAGTTATAATAATCACTAATTTATTACTTAAGTACATCTTCACTCATCTGGAAATTCATACCATCATTTTTGTTCTTTTTTCTTAGGAATTAATACATCATTAGTGAATCTGGGTAAATTGGTAATTTCATATAGCTTAATAAAGAAAAGCTCTATTGTAATGAATGTGCTTTATGATAACTTACTAGTGACAAAACTATACTTTTATTTCAAATTACTGGGTAGTCTATGCATTTTGTAAAAAAATATTTGTGATAGCTCTTTCAAAATAAATTTAATGATTAACTCTGATATTCATATTACCATTCTATTCATTTCATAAGTCAAATCATCTATTAACTATACCTAATAATTGGAGAATTTACAATATTATTCTTTAATTCTTTTATTCTAAACCCCAGTATCAGATTTTTTTAAACTTTTATAATGTTCAAATCAAAAATGCAAGACAAAATGCATTTGATACTTTTCTAAACATATTTAATAATTCTAAATGTTGCATTGTAATTAATATTATATGTAGGTTTTGTATTAAAGTATATGGCAATTCTTGAATGTCACATATTTTAAAAACAGAAATGCAATTATTTTAACTTTGAACATTTTTTGTAATCAATATGTCATAATAATTATATTTTGACAAGTGTAAAAACCAATCAAAAGCTAAAATATTATTTTCATATTGTTATTATTTAATGTTTTGTTACTTCTGTTTTGAAGTTTTACAATGTTTGTATAATTCAGAAAAATATTAAAATTATTTACAATGACTAGAAAATTTCAAGTATGGAATTACTCTGAACCATATTATCAAATGTATCCAGACACGTGGGTTAGTACATACAAATAATACAACATGTCAGGGCAACAATCAGTACAACAATGATCTGTATCAAATGCACACAATAAAACCACTTAAGCATAGAGATATAAATATTATTGATATATTAGTTTATGTACCTTCATAATTCACACTTTTATTTATTTTATTGATTAAGGCTGCATAGAGAAATCAAATGTAATTTTATATACTACTGCATATAGCAAATACAATTAATACTAATGTTAAACCGAACTAATTTAAAGTATATTAAATATTAATATACTTTAAATTAGTTTGTTTTAGTTTGTATTATTTTTTTAATTAGAAAAACACTTGTCTTTCATGAAAGAAAAAATAAATTTTCACAATAAATTTTTATTGTGGAAAAATACAATGTGTTTTTTTATAGTAATATATACAAAGTTCCACCAAGTGCCAACAATCATGACTGATAACATAATTTGAAGGATTTTTTTACTACTATTATGAATGTTTATTACTTCTTGAAACTTTAACATCATAATTATTATGTACACTTAGTATTTGGGATGAAAAGACACATAATTGGATAAGTCACACATCACACACATAGCAAAAACTATTTTTTTTTTTAATGGATAGTTATGCTTCAAATTGCAGATAACATAAACCTTTCCCTATAGTTGTAGAACCTATATTTAGCAAATAACAAAGAAATTATAAATTATCTTCATCATAAAACTATATGTGAAGTTTACAAGTTTCTTACAACTGCATCATTGTTGTATTAATATAATTTTAAGGTCAACCTGGCAGGGTATATTGCTAGCAATGTAGCTAACTCTCCATTACTAATAACCTCCTTCCCCCTAATAAATAATGTTATGAATAGAAATAGATTGTAGTTTTCTCTGTTATTGTGTAATTACTTATCTGTCTGAACAAAAAGTACATCAGCTTTTTTTAATTGACCATAAGGGTAATGAAATTGAAATAATACCACTAATGTAATAAAATCATGTATTAAGACATAAAGTATTCTAACCATATCTACTTTTTATTACAGGTTTATGTATGTATTACAAAACATTTATTTTCCAGATGACTATGGATGAAAAGTATGTGGAGAGTATATGGAGCTTACTAAAAAATGCAATACAAGAAATTCAAAAGAAAAACAACTCTGGTTTATCTTTTGAAGAGCTCTACCGTAATGCTTATACTATGGTTCTACACAAACATGGGGAAAGGCTCTATACTGGATTAAAAGAAGTAGTAACAAACCATCTTGAAACTAAGGTATATTTTTATATGAAGGTAGGAAATTCAGTTAAATCACCTGCAGTGGAGAAAAAATACATTAGGAATAGTATCATGAAGATAGGTTCATTAGTGTCATAATTTCTGAAATTCATTGTGGGTTGCCCCCAGATATTTATTGTTTTCTTAACATAGGTCATCTTACTTGAAATACCAAAATTATATTGGTATGATTTTATGAGAAAAAATATGAATAATAAGTCATGATTACATTCAATCAGATTGATGATACCTTCATTGATGTTTCTAATTGTTTAAAACAGTCCTCTATTAGGAACCTTACATTTATTCTATTATTTATTTAATTATATCCATATAAGTATATAATGTATCATATAGTACATTATATACTTATAATTAGTTTCTAAGTTTCCATTTCTTCTATTATTTTAGGTCAGGAAAGATGTGATCCATTCTTTAAACAACAGCTTTCTTCAAACACTGAACAATGCCTGGACTGACCACCAAACTAGCATGGTCATGATTCGTGATATCCTTATGTATATGGACAGGGTATATGTACAGCAAAATGAAGTGGACAATGTATACAATCTAGGACTAATCATTTTTAGAGATCAGGTGGGTATACGGGTATATCTATATTAATTCAACTTTTGAAAAGAAATAACTAACACATCTTTACTACTGTATGTATATAAACTTATTTAATATATGCAATTAGTTACTTGTATAATTTATAAATTCAATAAACATTAAAGTTATATTTAAATCAGGTGTAGTAATATGTAATAAAATATAGACGACACCTGTAATCTGGACTAAATTTCGATGAATTGCACTATTACTGTGAACTAGATAAATTTTCTATCTCAACTTTTTCTACATCAAATTCAAATTTAAACCTATACCCTCATAAGCACATTTCACTTACTTATTATACAAAATAAGCACATACACGTAAAATAGATGCAGTTCATGTATCACTCTCAATCAACTTCAAGTTAATTAAACAAAAATGTCTCTCAATTCAAAAGGTTCACTTCAATTTCCTTCATCTACATTGTTATATTGTACTTTTTATGCAACTTAGAATGGCAAACAAGCTGACGGGTAATCTGATGGAAAGTAGTAACTGTCACCTATAGACATAGCAGTACCATAGAAAATAGAATGTACTGTGTCGTTTGTGATACCCTTCATGCATTACCATTCCTGAGGACCATGTTCAGTGTTATATCTTTGTACCCTGTAATTTCATTGCCATAACCTACCCTTCAAACTGAAACAGCTATGCAAAAATAACTGTTTCACCCCAGAAACATAAATGTGCCAAAGGTACCCAAGCAAATGAGTTTTACTTTTGTCGCCTCATACTAGACATGGGTAATATTGGCACCGCCCCGATATCTATATTAATTTCGATTGAGTTCTTCTTTTCGGTATTATATATTAGATAACCGATATTTAATGTATGTGTTACTGGGCCAATTTATAAATATTATAACTACTATATTGCTATATGTACTACCCTATCGCGTACAATTAAAGCAAGAAAAAGAATGGTTACACATTTCATTCTTACTCTGTCGCCATTGAGGGTTAAAAAACGACTTTCTGCAAATCACAATTCATTTCCTATATAAACCTCATTGTTGAAACTTAGCTATGTTAAATTAAAATATATTTTCACAGTATTACTAATGCAAACCCTAAAAATTATTTCACAGGTTGTCCGTTATGGGTCTATTCGTGACCACTTACGACAAACTCTCTTGGAGATGGTGGCGCGCGAGCGTCGTGGGGAAGTGGTAGACCGATTGGCGATCCGTAACGCCTGCCAGATGCTTATGGTCCTTGGAATTAACTCCCGGGCAGTGTATGAAGAAGATTTTGAAACACCATTTCTACACCAATCTGCCGAATTTTATAGGGTAAGTTAGATTTTTTAAATCACACTTTGAATATGATATGGTAAAAGATGCCACAAATCAACCATTCTATATTTGAAAATTATATTTCCAACCGAACATACATACAAATTACATGTGGTTTCTGTCTATCCTAAAATGTGAATAGAGCACTTCATTAATCTATACTTTCACGCCAAGCTGTTTTTTTTTTTTTAATAGATGGAAAAGAAATGGTATGTATATGTATAGGAATTTATATAATTTTCAAATAATGATAAATGGACTCCACCATTGTTAAGGGATTATTCATTATGTGGCATCACACAATGAGGAGTATTTCTGATTATTATTGAGTACAAAGGGAGGTATTTGAACCGTTATTATTTGTGTACTGTTTTTATTTATTCCAGGAATGTATATTGATACTTATGGGATTTACTCGTATTTTTTCGTTTCACATAGATAAGGTTAAGAATTTGATATTCTATCTTGAAACATTTGAATATGATCTGTTCCTGATTGATAGTTACTTGGTTTTACTCAGCATAGTGAACCTATTTGATGACACAGCATTTATTATTAATATATATGCAAAGATTTGTGCTTCTACATTATTATATTATTTTAATTTTTATTCTGTATTATATATTACATACAGAACATTTCTCTACCTACACCTGTATTCTATTTGAACTGATACTTTTAAATCTGACAGCTAATATGCAAGAGAAAAAGTTACTAATCTCCGTCTTATTTCATTTGGACTAAAATTTTAAATATTCTGTTGTAGATGGAATCTCAAAAGTTCTTGGCAGAAAACAGTGCTGCAGTATACATCGCACGCGTAGAGGCCCGTATTAGTGAGGAGGCGGAGCGTGCCCGCCATTACTTGGACGAAACTACTGAGCCGCGCGTCGTTGCAGTGCTTGAACACGAGCTCATCGAGCAGCACATGAAGACAATCGTTGAGGTATCTAATACATGCACGTAATACAGGATCATTAGACACTTGCTATCAACCGTATGTAATCAAGTTTGTAGTTCTAAATCGTGCCGCACTTTTTACTTCATGCTCTTATTATTACGTACAGTGTAATTTCAATAACAAACAACTATTTAATATCTTAAAACATATTCAAGTTTCTCATGAAGTAACTATTAATGAGTTGTTGTTGCATTATTATATTATTAGTTGCTACTTGGCACAACCCATTACAAATAACAAATTGTATGAAGTAGACTTTTTATTATGGAATACTATTATTATAAGGCTACTGAAAGCAGTGTTGATCATCAGTCTGTTTTAGATTTTTTTAGACCTTTTCTATTAGTGATAGTATAACTAAGATTTTTAACTTTTAAACTGAAAGTCAACTTTATATTTTGGATCGAGAGGGGTATAGATTAAATTTTTTCGCAGTCAATCAAAAAGTCGATTGCTTTGGTACCTCTGTCCCATTCGTGATTCAACTGTGAAGCAGTTGTGTTTGTATGGCTGTGTTTCGATTTGAAGGGTGGGATATGGCGTGAATTTACTGGGTACAGAGGAATAACACCTGAGTCCTCAGGAATGGCAACGCATGGGGGGCATCATGGGCGAAATAGTATACTCTGTTATGTCCATGGCACTGCTCATGTCTATAGGCGACGGTTACCACTTTCCATCAGGTGGACAGCCAGCTTGTTTACCATTGCCTCCAAGTTGTATAAAAAAAAACGATTACAGGAATAAAGTCGTAAATAAAAACTAGTCACTAATAGAAACGTACTTTACCTAAGGCTCTGATTAATTGTTATATATTGAAAAAGTATAGCAGAGTGACACTGCAATAACGGTATGTTCACAGATGGAGAATTCTGGTGTAGTTCACATGCTGATGCACACCCGCACCGGCGAGCTGGCGTGCGTGTACAAGCTGCTGTCGCGCGTGCCCGACGGACTGCGCACCGTCGCCGACGCGGTGTCCGCGCACCTGCGCGAGCAGGGCCGCGCCCTCGTCACCGACAACCACAACAACACCAACGCCATCACCTTCGTGCAGGTGCGTCTCCCGCACCTCTACCGCGCTCTCGTGCACTACACTTACACAAATTCATTCACATAAACTTATACACTTATACTAGATTTACACACAATAACACAAGCAGAACTGCATGATCACATTGTCAACATTTTTATTAAGTAACATCTTATTTCATAATTGTTTCACTTAATTGTATTAATACATTATTTTTTCTCTTTTTACAGAACCTACTTGATCTCAAAGCAAGATTTGATCACTTTTTACAGAATTCATTCAATAATGATAAAATATTTAAGCATATGATTGCCTCTGACTTCGAATATTTTCTCAATTTAAATAATAAATCCCCTGAGTTCTTGTCATTATTCATCGATGGCAAACTGAAGAAAGGAGAAAAGGGCGTACGTATAATTTACATTACTTATGATCGTTATTATCTCAACAATTTCTAAACAGCTCTATTTTGTTTTAGTTGTATTAGTGTAAATTTATTAAAAATTTCAAATAAAAATACAATAAATTATCATTTTTCCATTACACATATATATAACCTACTTATCATCTATTCTCGTAGATGAGTGAACAAGAAATTGAAGCAGTTTTAGACAAAACTATGGTGCTGTTCCGTTTTCTTCAAGAGAAAGATGTATTTGAAAGATATTACAAACAACACTTAGCCAAGCGTCTCTTGCTCAATAAATCTGTGTCTGATGATAGTGAGAAGAATATGATCTCCAAACTGAAGGTAAATCAATAATTATATGTTAGCTTATACTTCATAATTAATAATCAGGCAGTAATATAGTTATTCAGGCATAGTGTTATGATTGCTTCTTGCCTTTCCCAGAAAGAAGGTTTGTTAAGAGATGTGGAACCGCGAGACTTTCACTGTATAATCGGTGATGTCTCGCAAATAGAGAATTCGGTCAGTGATTTGTGATGCGTTCTCCTCCTAACCCACGCCCTATCCACATTCTGCAAAATTCTTTACAATATCCTACAAACAATAACTTGTGAGTGTTTTGATCTTTTTACACAAGTTGCATCTAATACTTGTAAACAAAATCATGCTTAAAGTCCTTGGATATGATTTAATCTTTGGTTTCTACTATTTTATTCATAAAGATATATCACGAATTTTAAATTTAATTAACAGTCCATGAACAAATAAAGAATTTTGCAGAAAAGGCTTTAAGCAGGATTTATTAATCATTGTGGCAAGTTTACACGTTAACTATTTCGAAGCAGTAAAATCACACCGGAAAAAAACCCTTCCATACCAGCACTAGCGCAAATAAGTTTACAAACTACATTATGTGACCCGCGCCATGATTTTTCCCATACTGTGTAACCTTCACTTTATAACGTCGAATCCCTTAAAATTGCCTCCTTTCAATTGATCGCATTCGTGAACCAATGAAATTCGTGAACCCTGAGTTCACGCAGAACCCCATGGTCACACGAGTATTTTAAAAAAATAATATTTTTATGTTATTGTAGACGATTTTAGTGTAAATTTGCACACATAAACACATACTTATGACAAGAAATTAAGTAAATAATATTTTGTCGTAACTCTTTGTTGTATTAATACCAATCCTTCTTAATAATATTTTAAAAGAAGTGTTCACAAGAGCCAAACTATAATAGAAAATATACTTTTAGCGATCATCAATAATAGAAAATTATATCTCACAGACGACATTCGTCTCCATTGTTGCGTCGTGATGAATATTAATGAAATGGTCACGGGAATTGTCCAAACTTTCATTTCATTTTTGCGTAGTAATGAAATTTTATTAATAATTATATAATTTTATAATCATCATATCAGTCGCCTACTCTCCACTGCTGAACATAGGACCTCCCTCAAAAAGAGGGGTTTTTGCCTTTACTGATATTCTGAGAGGGAGATAATGGATGATAATGGAATGGTAACACCACCTACGCAAACAGTATACGCTGGCGGGGCACCAGTGAGGGATGATAGGTGAGAATGAGAAAGCAGGTCAGTTAGCCCATCATGAAGAATACATCTGGAATTCAACATGATCGTTTCCAAGGTAAACGACGTGGAAGTCGACCTGACAGGGTATATTGCCAGCAATGGTACTGGTAGTCTGCATTACTAACAATCCCTTCCTCCCCTCAAAGGGATGCTGCTGCCCATCTTTCGACCGTTAAATTTTCTTAGTCGCCTCTACGACACCCACGGGAAAAGAAAGGCTAGCTTATTCTATGCCGGGACTACACGGCAGTTATTATTTTATAATATGAATTTGAACTTACAGACTGAGTGCGGTAGTCAGTTCACCTCGAAACTTGAAGGCATGTTCAAGGACATGACCGTATCCAACACTATCATGGAAGAATTTAAGGAGCATGTGCTGTCAACCGGGGTGAGTTATTAGAAAATATATTGCTTAGATTAAAAAAAAGTTACTAATACTATATAGCTTATAGAAGGTTAAAGGCTTTTTATCCCGGTCAATGAACATATACCGATCACAAGAACGAAGCCGCTGGTAGCTAGTCTGATATAAAAATATACCATTTCATGTATTTGATATATATATATATATGTTCGGAATTATTTGTTCGTGTATATATAAATTTTTTTTTTACCGTGTCGCGTTAAAAACACATTAAATATGAATTTGAGCTTGTTTGACTATCCCAATTGTATTAATAAGACCAATGTTTGTCGGCAGACCAATCTTCATGGGGTGGATCTATCGGTGCGCGTACTCACTACTGGTTTGTGGCCAACCCAGAGCGTCACGCCCAAGTGTAACATACCCACAGCACCCAGGAATGCTTTTGATGTATTCAGGAGGTATGTATAATAACTATATCATTCTACATTACCTTTAGATCATAAAAACTATAATCTTACTAATTAGAGTCCTTATAATAATCAAAGCAATGAAAGACGAAACAATCATTTTTATCTAACTGAAGGTTTCCTCCGGCATCACTTAAAAACTACTCCAAAACTAAACACTACCAAATTGAATGCTATTTTTACAGTAGTACTCCTAAAGGAAAAATTATGTATGTTTTATCTTGATATGTCATCTAGAAGTAGTACTTGCTTCTAAATTCTACTCGTTCAAAATTGTGGACAAAAGCTAGTGTGGTATATTATTTAACGATAACAGCTTGATAAGCCAAAGTATCAATGTCTAAAACTGTACTGTAAACAATGGTTTCAAGTGTTAGTAAATTCCAGAAATTTATTGAATGTTTAGTGCTCATAGTAAGTATTATAAATTATAAGAAGGTATATGTTCAGGGCTATATATAGGTAGATCTTGTTTCTATTACTGATGAGATACGTCAATGAACGACGACAAGCTTTACGTTAAATACTACGTTTTCCAGCGAAACACCTCTGTATTTCGCTAATCTGTCTTTAATTAAGACTGAATCTCTAGATTGGTATTTCGATATGTATATTAAGGATATGATGTGCTGTGAGTGTATTTATTGTGACATTTGTTGTTTCTCTGCAGTTTCTATCTAGCGAAGCATTCGGGGCGCCAACTGTCGTTGCAGCCGCAGCTCGGCAACGTGGACCTGCATGCAACATTCCGCGGCGCTGCGGGCGGCGCGGGCGGCGCATCCGCGTCGCCGCCACGCTCTCCTCACTCGCCGCCCGCCGCCGCCGCCGCTGCCGCCGCCGCCGCGCCACGCCGCCATATCATACAGGTCTCGCCCTTCCAGATGTGCGTGCTGCTGCTTTTCAACAAGCGCGAACGACTCACGTACGAGGTACTAGCACCACTCATTTACTGTTGTTTTACCTTCTACTAACATAAATATACATGATGAAGAATTTGTGACAGGGAAAAAATGCTGAACCTTGTAAAACTTGTTTCATTGCTGTCATCTTTGAATTGTTTTTACTGGTGGTCAAAATCATTACCCTGTGAACTCTGCACTAATAATTAAGGATTTAACACTCATGATAAAGAAATCAAACAATGAACCTTTAAATACTTCTCATTGTTTCTACCTACATTGTAATATTGTATACGATGCCTCTATACTTACAGGAAATACTCAACGAGACTGATATCCCGGAGAAGGACCTAGTCCGCGCCTTACAGTCGCTAGCAATGGGAAAACCTACGCAGAGAGTACTCATAAAACATCCCAAGACCAAGGAAATAGAACCATCTCATCAATTCTATGTAAATGACGCCTTCACATCTAAACTATACAGGTATGTATTTGTAATGTTGTTATAATGTTTTAATAACCGTAAATGACAGTTTCTTACCACAATTATATATTTGACTGTAAAACTTTTTATATATTTGTTAAGCCCTAAAAATGTAAATTATTATCTTCAAGACAGAAAAAAAATATAAGTTGATAAATTGACCAAATTTAAAAAAAATTTGTATTCGCTTACAATAATACTCTTTATTATAAACAAAATTTTGAAGAAACTTTTTTGAAATTTCTTCTGAAGAAAAAGAAAATTCTATTGCTATTGTTGTTATTATTTTGTGAAATCTAGAGTGAAGATCCAAACAGTAGCCGCTAAAGGTGAATCAGAGCCAGAACGACGAGAAACACGCAACAAAGTGGACGAGGATCGTAAGCATGAGATCGAAGCCGCAATCGTGCGCATTATGAAAGCCAGAAAGAAAATGGCGGTAAGTTTTATATCTATTCAAATTCTTTATTGTCGAATGGACTTTCTTCGCATATATGATCTGTGAGCGGGGCGCGCGCTTGTAAACTCTCACAGATTACATTCCACGTCACTCGGCATGTGACAAATCTTTGTTGTGAAAACGATACCTATGGCTAAACATAATATATGCAAGTATTTAGTCATATTTTGTATTGACAATAAAATATCAGTTCACATAAAAATATAACATAAACATCTAACACAACGGTACTCTCTTTATCGTTATAGATTGCAACTGTTCGATCATGATTCTTCCGACTTTCGGAAATATTTATGACCTTTTGCTGAAATATAATAAAACATTCACTGTTCGTTATATCTTTAGTGATGCTGTAAATATAATGAAATGTCCTCAGCACACGCTGCTGGTGGCCGAGGTAACGGAACAACTCCGCGCGCGGTTCCTGCCGTCGCCGGTAGTTATCAAGAAGCGCATCGAGGGACTCATCGAGCGCGAATACCTCGCGCGTACGCCAGACGATCGCAAAGTTTACACTTACGTCGCATAGGTTCGTAGCGAGATTACCGTGCTAAATAGTGTCTACATCTAAGGGTATAAGCAGACGGAGAGACCATCCACACCATACTCCACAAAATTTCATTATGCGAGTGTGTAAGTCCGCAACTAACATGGGAAATCTATTCTCTGTGGACAAAAATTTCTTCGTCTGCACAAACCGTAACGAGACCCACGTGGTATAATAATTTGAGTAATTTGTGAAATTTATTACAGTTGATAGAATCTCGCATATAACTTAATTAGTGTTATGTTTTGAAAAAGCCATTTCATAGTCAATCAACCCAGTCCAATAGACCAAAAAGTTCTCCCCTATCTTAGTGAAGTTTAGAACTTCATTGGCAATATCTATATTAAGTATCGAAATATTTTTTTTATTAAAATTACAGTTTAAAATTGGAAGGAATATAGACTTAGTATAAAGTATAATTTACTTCAAATAGAACTCCACAGCCAAAAAAAAAAAAAACAAAATATCCTCTTATATCCTGTCTTGATGTTTACTATCGAAAAAATCTGAAATAACTGACACTGATAAACAATGGTCAATTTTCTTTATATTCCAAAATTAAATTACCAAATTCAAAATTTGATAAATATTTAAAAATGAATCTTTAAACTCCTATTCAATATTTGGTTACTCAAAATAGATCTTATTTTATACAAATAAAATTAGCAATTCATTAAACCGAATATTATTATAGTTTATTTTTAAGTAATAACTTGCAGCCCAAGAATTTAGAATACTACTAATGACCAAAGAATATGTACAAATTATATCAACTCTCGGTATTAGGGCAAAACCAACTAGCAGTTGATGAGTAGATTTTTTATTTCACTTTCCACCAAGATTCTTAAAATTGTTTTCTGTCGAATGCAACATTAATGGATGCGAACTTTGATTTATACCTAACTGTTAAATATTTTTTTCTTCAAATCGATTCGATTTTCTGACTTTTAGCCTTTTAAGAAGTTTTTTACTATGTTATGCCATGTACAACCAAAAGAACTACGAAACACGGGTCAAACATTCCTTCTATTCCTGCTTTTATCTGATCTTCTCCTCATATCCTATTCTCTGTTTTGCTATCTCTATACTACTTTACGAACACCAAAACTATTCAAATTTTTCAAAACTTTATTAACTTTTCTACAAAAATTACTCCAAGAATTTTATTTCTCCAAATTTTCACAATAAAAAAAATTTGGCCAAAATTACAATATAAATCCCCAAACTGGCAACACTAGTCAAATGTCTTGTAATCTTTTCGTAATTAGTACATAAGTTATATATAAAGCTTTATTCAGATGTCTTTATAAAATTATATAAAAATCCTCAGGAATCGTTTTGAAATATTTTATATTTACTGTCACAACATACTTAGATGTTATTGTTTATAATGATTTTTGTTATTATAATTTACATCAAACTTGAACCTTACTATTTAATGTTTAAAACATTATAATTATTGCATTTACGTATTTATATAATGTTGATATTTTAAACATCCAGAACTACTTTAGCACGAATACATTCATTTAACACATAGCTTCGTTTATTATAAAATTATTATAAGAGAGTACCTCTTATAAGTCCTCCTTAGAAGTAATTATTCTAAAATTTTACACGAAACCAATAATATAAATTAAGTATCTTAAATTATCTAAAACATTATACAACGTGGGTCTTCCAAGATGTAGTCACATTGCTAAATATACAGCTTCAGTTGACGTCTGTAAAATGTATGTTATGGATGAAGAAGTATAAAATAGGATAACACATACAGAGATCGATTTTGTTAATGTAAAAATATTGTAAATAGCGGTAACTTTAATTTCGATTTGCGTATGGTAGCTACTATGTCAGTGTTTCTCATTTCCTGATTCGGCTATATTAAAAACTTCTTTTCTAACCAACATCTTTCAATTTATACTTTGTTACCCGTTGTTGACATATTTTTACACAAAGGGACTTCTAACCACTTCTAACAAATGGGTACAATGGCGGTATCCTAAATTGAGTTTTGTTTTCAGGCTCTGAATCTCACAAGTCCTTGAAAGGCGATGCCAAGTTAGAAGTGATAGAAGTAACAAAAGTATTTAAATTATTTCAAAATAAAATTATTAGTTATGTCACAAGTTATTTTATTTGGTAAAATGTCGATAGCAATACACCATCATTATAAGTGGCAGAATATGATAACAATTATGGTTTTGACATCCATTTGAAGGGAAAGGGAAAAAGAAATCGCCCGGCAAGTGAATATTCAGTTGCGGTCCCGCTGCATATTCATATATACTCGGCTTAGTTTGATCTAAGAATATTATGTCCATAGTTAAAATTACAGAAATGTCTGTAATGTCAACATTGAAACTTATATTTCTGACGTTTGTATCCAATTTGGCAGCCAATAGTTTTGCCCCTTCTTTGTCGCTGATGTCAGCATAAGTGAATATTAATGAGATGCCTGTTATTATATTATAACAATGTAGTCTTAGATGTTGTGCATTGTATTCACCATAAACAAGTCCTTTGTCGGGAATATTTTTTTGCATAGATATCCAATCATCATCTTTAATGTTGTACGAATTCCCATATGGAGATATTACAATATTATGTTGTAATCCTAGTAATTTAATTATGTTCTCTTGAAGTGTTTTGCAAGTCTCAGTACGACTATATGAACTAATGTTACCAACATGTTGATAACGACATTTCATTCTTTTGTTATACTGAAAAGTTACTAAATTATTAGTAACATTTGATAATATACATTTTCCATTTTTATTTACAGGGTAGGATAGATAATTCTTGTTCGTTGATGTTTTATTAAAAAAATTGTAAGTGTGATTACTTTCTGTAAATGATGCTATAATGGGTAAACCAGCCATGTAACCAGGATTTCCGCTGACTTTAACAATATTATCTATTGTTTCATTCGCTATTAGGAATCTTATATCAATCTTCTGCAATAAGAATGGTATTGCTGTTGATATTTCTTGTATATACAATCTTATGGTCGCATTAGTTATCTTTGATTCATAATAATAAAATATATAATCAAAATGAGATGCAATATTCCTGCAATAACTGTCAGAACATGACGGCTCGTGTAGGGTTTTATTGTAGGGAACACACTGCGCGTCATTACAAGTAATAATAGTCCAATTAACGCAATGAAGATTTGAACAATTCTGAAAAAAGAATGCTACATTCACACTTCTTTGTTATTAAAAATATACAATCTATGAAAAGCATGCTTTGTAATGGTTATTTTATTATTCCTTGTTGATTAAATATTAGGAGATTAGCTTAATGATAACGTTATTGCCATTCGATATACGCAACATTCTTATTTATTTCTAAGCCAAACAGTAATCCATGCTATGCATCATATATTTAATATAACATCTTTCAACTTACCAAAGTGGAAGTATCTGATAAATTTTTCACAACACTAACAAGTCTTACGTCCTCAGAAGCCTTTAGAATATGAAACATTTCTAGATCCTTTAAGCTGGCCATACATGTTATTGTTTCGTCTCTCAAAAATCTTAAGGGTCTTCTACTCGTGCAATAACTATTTACCACCGATGATGGTAAGTCTGCAATATACACCGTAATTCGATATTAATATATAATTTTGCTGTAGTTCATAGTGAATTTGGGTTTTTATACAGACTCAAAATAAAAAAAAAAAAACTATACCTCATTACTAAAGGAATGAAAACAAATCCAAATAAATTTCATACTGCAGCAAGCATGATTCTACAAAAATGGATGGTTGAACGTTATGACTAAGAATGTTAATAGATAATAAAAATGGATGGTTGATAACATTAAAAAAAAACTTTAATTTTTAATGTTTTTATGCATCAAACCGGGAAAAAAATCAGTTTTTAACCGAAAAGAATGTTAATAGATAATAAGTTAATGCAATTAATTAGATATCTATAAAATTGTAATATCTTTTTTGGCAATAGTAAACAAGGACAATCTTTTTTAAAAAGTAATGTTGAATTACCCATATATCTAATTGTTCCATCTTTGAGTACCCACAACGGATCACCATAATTGTATGGTTGCCTTTTAAATACATTGACATGTCTACGCTTTACATCTCTGTGCCATTGATAATATCTGTCAACTGCAGCGGCATCATACTAAAAAAATAAAATATAAATATTATTAACGTATAAAATATATTTTGCTTTTACAAAAATATCTTTTTTTAACTTAATTTTTTCAGATTTTTATCTTTTTGCTATTTTTTTTTTAGATATATTAAAATTATGAATGGTAGTACATACTTACCTTTTGTATATTTATATTTCGTTTAACAGGTAAATTTGTTTTGATGACGCAAAATAAATTTGCAATTGTCGTACCAGATTGTGTGAACATGTTCGAGGGACTAGAGGAACAAGAATATCCACTTTCGCCGACTTTCGTGTTTATATTGGTATTATCGTTACATACTAGAAACATCTTTATATCACTATCTGAACAATCAGTATCACAGCAGCAATTAATATCACACACTTTATACTGAAAAAAAAATGAAGTAGTATGAATAAAATCTAGTTTCTAGGCGCTGTCACTATTTGAAATGGAAATCAATGCCTTGAACATTAATTAAATAAAAAAATTCAGTGAGTTTTTAAGTTTCAACGAGATTTGTGTCTTTCATAGATAATTGAAATACTCGTTAATATTTTGATGTCATGTAACTGTGAAATTAATTTTATTGTTACGCTTGTGAGCGTGTTTTTGTTAGAAATCGTTCCGAATATCTATGAAAATAAATATAAATGAAATCCTCATGTTCGCTTGCAATCATAGAAGGGCTGGGACTAAAGATTTCAACTGATTTTTTTTTTCTTTTTTATTATAGGGTTTAAATGTAAGGAAATATGATCAGAAGATATAAATACAAAAACCAAACAGACTTACTAATAAGTTACATCTGCAATCCATATAAATATTTCTCTTTGGTAGCTTTGGTATAGTTGTTGTATTATTATTTTCATGAAATAAAGTTATTTCCGTTTCATTACCAATTTCTGTACTGGTGTAAACTACATCTGTAGTAGTCACATTATAATCATACAATTCATCTACTACTGTAGTCGAAAAATCCGTGGATATTTCTAATGAAATGTCTGGCAATGTCGAGTTTATAAATGACTTATTGGATGGAGAAGTAGTAGCCCTCTTCTTTACATACTTGGCATGTGTAGGGTAATAAAATGCATCACGCTTTTGAGCAAGATTTTTGTTCATAATATCATCTAATTGTTTCTTGTGACTAGTAATATTGAGATCAAACACGTTTTCCAAATTTCCATCTAGCTGCATATTTTCATTAATATAATCCATAACAGTAAATTGAATTAATATAGACAACAATGTAATACCAAGGTAAGTAATTATCTTCATTGTATATTCTACTTATATTCTACGCCAAAATGAGTAAAATTTCTTAAAATCAAATCTATTTCTAACTTAATCGATCCTTTTGATTTAGTTTTTAATTTAAACCTGGAAATAAGACATAGAAGTGTTGTTAAGTACCTTGAATAAATATTTCTGAAACATCTAGTATTTAATTCCACAATTAATAACTATACATAAACATAGTAAAAAATAATTGGGGCCAACGCAGGTGACAGTGAGAAGCCGTTATAGATTGCAAACTAAATGATGTACAAGCCTCGGCATCCAGCACCACACCTCCATAGGACCTTCAAGTTTGAAAACCATTATTTTTTTTTTATTATATTTGTATCAATTTCAATGATATGTTTATTATTATTTAGCAATTTAATTCAAATGGTATTTAAGAATACTAACCCTAGAGGGAGAAGAAGGACTCACTCTCCCTCCTCTCTCGCCTTTTCTATCTCTATTATCTCTCTATAAAAAAGAAATTAAAGTGCATGAACACTTTAGAGAGAGAGAGAGAAATTCTAATTTTAGCTAATTTATCTAATTTAATCTAATATGATTTGGACAGAACCAATAATCGAAAATAGCCCATAAATTTCTCTATTTTGCTTGAGTTTACACTCTGATATTATAATGATACACGCCAGGGTATCCCAGACATCAAAATTTTATATAACAATATTGTAATCACCTATCTGTTCCCAAATTAATTATATCCTTTTGCAAAAGCTGATGTGATCCGCCAAGAAAATATTGACGAATTCTATCTGTCACAGAGGTACCTACTGGCTCCCAACAAGGTACTTCCAATATATGATGTCCAGGAGTAACTGGTAGGCTACAGCAGCTGTATCCCACTATCCACGAGCGTCCAAGCAAGTCCAAGCAACTCACTTGCACTACTAATTTAGGCCACCCTATAAATGAATACTAATATTAATATAAGTTTTTATACAATTTAAAATAGTAAACAAATTAATGGCTCAATTGAGTGAAATGTGATCACCGTCACTTTTATACAATAACTGACACACAAAAAACACACGCCCATGGAAACCTACACATGTTGCCATTCCTATAATCTAAGCTGTTATCCTCCACACTATAATTTTACTACCATTTTCAAACCGAAACAACCCAATACAAATTATGTATTGGGTTATGTTTTGGCCTGATGATAGAAACAAGAGTGATACAGAATTACTCAAGTTGACAAGTTTTATAAAGCCTCTCTTTCTGGTAGAGAAGAGGTAAAAAAATTGTGGAAAATTTTTCATCAACAAACTTGTCTAATTATTATTATTATAAAATGAGGAACTAGTACAATCTTAGATCAATGCAACTTCTCTCTTCAGGATATCATCAATATGACCATGTTAGTCAACTATAATTATAAATAAACTTTTTGAATATTATTTTTAGTGGGTGAGCTTTACAGTCTCCCAATACATTCATACTGTATAACTATAAATAATAATGACTATATAACAATAATAGATATAAGCTTTTTATTTTAATTATCTAAATACAAACAATAGCCATCTGACACAACTCCGGCAAGATGTGGATAAGTCGGAATATCATTGAGTAGTCTCAATACAAGAGATGGAAGCTTGCTTGTTTAACATCACAGTCACATGAGTTACAGGTAAAAGCTATTATTCAATAGAATTCCTATGTAATTATGAAAAAAAATACTGCTACTAACACAATACTTATGCCTAAATACACTTAAACCGAATATTAAAGAGAAATCACATCATGGTCTTAGAGATAAAAAAATAAGCTTATTTACTTGTTTTAACTAAAGTAGCAGTCTTATACTATACCTTTATCACTTACCCTGAATTCCTTTTGTAATATAATGAATGTCAAGTGGATGAGCCCAAATATTTGACTTATTGTAATTTGGATTAGCTGATGTAGTCTGTCCTTCTGGACATCCAGATAGAATTGTCCAATTTGGGCCTGAAATTTGTATTGGACCCTACCTAATAATAGTATTCATAAAACTGAATGAAAAGCATAGTTGAAATTACAAAATATTTGAATTTTTGATATAAACCACACCATGAGGTAATTAATTTATTCTCAAAGACTAAAATTTTAATAGTTTGGCAAAAGGCAAAAAGTAGATATTATTACTAAAAACTGAATTTAATTATATTATAAATTTAACAATTTTGCTGTGATATCTATTTTATATTTTATCCAAAGACAACTAGTTTTTCGCTTCACGATTACGAATAATTCTATAGGTATACATTAGATGCTTAAGATCACTTAGAATATTAACGATAAATCAATGGTAAACATACCAGTTTGAAATGTATAGCGACAAAATAATGAAGTCGACTCTTCAAAATTTGATGCACATTGCAATTGTCCCAGTATATGCAATTCTGCCATCAGATATTGTAGCGCAACTCAACACCCACAAAATCTTAAATATTATTACGCTTATAATCTTCTAGCTTTAAAAGAAATACTGAAAACTAATAATCAACTACATCCATTATTGTTTTGTTTGCATATCAATCGTTACCATAGCAACCACATCGCAAGTAATTATTACATTATAAGAGTTGGCACCGGCGTCATATCGACGAAACTAGGAAAAAATTAAAATACATGTACCTTTCCAAAGTAACAATACAATAAAAAATATAATTAAAAACAAAAAAGGAAACATAATGAATATCCATAGTGTTATACCACGACTCATACAATATATAGATATCGACAGTTGTCATAAAATAGAAATATTGACAAAAAAAAACGATTCTGGAGCGTATATTTGTAAATAATCTTTAGATAATTCCATGAAATAGCATACTATTATATAGAAACTTTGAAATAAGGTGCAAAGGTATTGTTTTTGTCTGATTTACAACAAGTATAGGATATGATTTTGGCATGTGCATATTTTTGTAAAGGGGAACCGCATTTAGGTCTACGAGGCTTAATTGTATTTAACAATGACAATTATTAAAGAAAATCTTATCATTGTTCTTAATTTGCTCAAGATTAATAATATTTATTTTGAAATGATTAAAATAAATGTACGAACAATTGAGTGGCGACCACGTCTGTGTAAACACAATGTAGGACGACCTCCTACTAGATGTTGGGGAAAAGAGATTGCTAGCAATGGACCTATTAGACCGACCTCCGCGTGGTTCCCCCTGGAAACATCGTGGACAATTCTCGTTGAATTCGTCACGATGGGCTAACTGACCTGCTTCATCCTCACTTATCATCCTTCACTGGTGCCCCGCCGGTGTATACCGATAGCGCAGGTGGCGTTACCATTCTATTATCACTCATGAAAAACCCTACTAGATGCAATATCGGCCTAAAATACATTGCAGGGAGTCAATGGATGCAGGTGGCTCAGGGCCGCTCATTATGGCAGTCTATGGAGGTTTATGGCCAGCAGTGAAAGGATAATGGCTGAAATGATGATGATGACGAACATTATAACAAAAATATAATTTTTTTTTTATTTTTATCTATTATTACATAATTTATTAGTTATTTTAATATTTATAAAAAATGTGTGTTATAAGTGCTATTTTTGAAATGGCACTATTAACTAGCGCCTATTCAAGATGGTCGAAATCCGCCATATTTGAATTTTCTTTTTAAATCTGTGGTAACATAGTTTCGTAGAAAAACATTCCATCAACGACGTTTCAACTGTTGGAAACCTTAGCAACATGTAACTATAATATGTGCTGACACTACAGATACAAATTTAAAACAAAATTGACCTTACCCAGTTGAATGCTCATATAATTGATGAACGCCTACTAATAAAAACTTGCTGAATAAAATTACAAAGAAACAAAATTTATTTATTTAAAGCAATCATATTTTTTATTTAATTATATAAATGAGGTTTGATAACATTTTGTAGGTACATTTAAAACTAACAATAAAATATTAAAAGGAAATTCAGCTGGATTATCCAAGCAGCATCCGGCGTGTATTAATTTCTGTTCTATTTCATGTATCTCGCTCACATACGATATATTAACAAAATTATTTTTACTTTCATTATAGGTTTGCAGTTAAATTTCTAACATCAGTCGTTTAAAAAAATCTCTGTTTATATAAAATTGTTAAATTTATAAACATGAAAATTATTCAGTTTGACGAACTCTTTCTCATACTCTGCTTACATATAACCTAAGGCCATATAAAAATACAGACGAAAGACACGAGGACTTATCGCTAGAGACATAACTAGATTAACAAAAAAAGAGGTCTAAAACCAGAATAGACTAGACTAAAATTATAATAATAATAGAGAAAAAGTACATAATAATTTGAACATTAAGGCCATTATTGTATCACAATTAGTACCTTGTTATACACATAAGAATATTATCAATTAATCATTGATGGCAAAAAATCTATATCGGTTTTTATTATTAGTAGATAAAATCTGATACTTTGTGTTGTAATCAAACATTTTAGAAACCGATTTTCTCCATAAAATAAAGTTATTATTAAATTTCTACATGACTAAAATACACTGCCAACTTTAGTCTATATAAATGAAAAGGTAAATCAGAATAACTCTATTTAAAATCAATTATAAAATTAAAAACTATGGTAACCATGGTACAAAAATAAAATAAAAATTGAATTCAATACATGCATCGATTACACCATTCTATAGTTTATAAATAGGGTTGCCACCCTGGAAAAAGACGACAAAGATTAGCTGGATCAGTTGCAGTATGTATTAAGCGGGCGACTTGGCCCGGCACCGAAACTCCTCCAGCGATGCCACCCTCGGTACCACTAAGCTTGCTGCTAACTGCCAATAACGCACGCTCAGCTAAATGATGCCGATCTGAACCAGCCACACCTTTAACATAGAAAAAAGAAACAAGAAAATTCAGTTTTAAATTCCATCATAAAGTACACAAAATAGTAATTTCTAACGTCGTAAAAATTGGCTTATAACATTTAGTACAATTTTGTCACTTCAGATAAAAATGGCGTGACTTTGCCTCCTACATAAATAGACGTTTGTAAATTCTATACGTTGTGAGTGCTTACAAATTCGTCATACCAAGATCTGAAGTCCATCTTATTATTTTCTTAAAATTTTTATTTATAGTTGTAAGAGTGTTTAAAAGGGATTTTTTTAATGAGTGAAGATGGAATGGTACCCTCGACTACGCTATCGGTATACGCTGGCGAGATACCAGTGAAGAGAGACAGGCGAGGATGAAGGCAGGTCAGTTGGCCCATAGTGACCAATTAAACAAGAATTAATCACTATGGTTTCCAGGGGGAACCGCGTGGAGGTCGACCTGATAGGATGTATTGCTAGCAGTGGGGCTGTTTAATCTAATTACAAACAATAACTTTTCCCCTTGTAAAGGGGATTTGGTAATTATTCGATGCGTCCAGTTACTATAGACTTAAAGAAAATAGTCCTCCAGCCCTTCTTTCATACTGTACCCAATAGGGCTGATGGTTGATACCTAACAGAAGCAGTAATCATTTATTTTACTCACATACAGCTGCATTCCCTGTGGCAGACTGAATATTTTGCCTTGAAGTCAATGAGTATAATGGATCATACAACAATACTTCCAGTATTGTCAATAATGTCTCCTGATTATCTCTAAGAAGTTGCATTGTTTTTTCACAGCATCTATAAAGATAAATTAATGTACAAGAATAGAGTAAAAATAATAAATTTATAAGCGATGTTTGTACAAATTCATTGATATTATCCTACTGATAGGTATTAATAAAAATGAAAAATAGTGGAAATGTTTAAATACTTGATACTGATCATTGCTGTGATCTTACATTAAAATGACTTTAGACTATATTAGAATCTCTCTCTATACTTTTTATGTTGCAAATGGTTTCTGTTGTAATTGAATCCCACCCCAACGGTAAATATAGGTAATATTTACCACTACTGAACATTAAAATAGAAACATGGATTGGATATTTCATAATTTTTTTTAACACAAATCGTATCGTAAACGTGTTTGCATAATTGGATTATTTTGGTTGGGTGGGCATATCCCTCATTAATACATATTAAAAATTAAAAATAAATTAAAATGTTTATTTATCGTTGTGAACATAATTGTTTTAATAGTATAACAAGTACAACCCCTATTAACATTACATTGAAATTGTTTAAGATAAGTCGATTACTTGGGTACCTCTGTCCCATTCGTGTTTCTACCGTGAAGCAGTTGTGTTTGCATGGCTGTGTTTTGTGAGTCCTCAGGAATGGCAACGCATGAGAGGTATCATGGGCGAAACAATATACTCGGTTATGTCCATGGTACTACTCATGTCTGTAGGCGACGGTTACCACTTTCCATCAGGTGGGCCGTCAGCTTGTTTGCCATTTTAAGTTGTATAAAAAAAAATTAAGATCATCCTTATCTAATGGGTATCTTTAGTCAAATACCTTCTAAAAATTCCCTCAACACCGCTACATCCAAATCCAGCGATAATGTCTTGAGTCAAGCGAAAGGGTACCGTCTCTGGAGTTCTTAAAATTTTTCCCTGGTCAAAAGCATAACCTGTAAAACATATTATATATTACAATACTTTAATTACGCGATTAGAAACAAGCTCATAGGTCTGAAAATCATAATTCTATCTTAGCTTAAGATTATTTCTTCCTAACCTAATTATGCACTCACCAAAGTCTATATGAACGACTTCTGCGCTATTTTTATCAATTAAAATATTATTTACATGTCTGTCACCCAATCCTAATATGTAGCCAACCATAGATGATGCAGCAACACTGAAAAAAACTCTTTATTAACACTATACACATAATGTAATATTAATGGCGTCGATCCCGACACTATTCTCTAAACCTGTCTCTAAAATTTAAATTTGATATCACAGGAAAATCTTTATTCTATACACCAATTTCCGAATAGATTTAAGTCAAAATTAGTACATCTTTAATTTATGATGGTCCATAAAACAGTATTTACGAAAAATTATCAAATTAAAACAAGAGATAATTTTAAAGAAATACCACCTCATAATAGGTCTCAATATGTGATAAAAAGAAATATAATAATAATCCAAAATCCAGTCATAATAAGTAAGAAAACTAACTACACAGAGCAAAATCGAAATCATTAGCATCCTTTTAAAAAAGTGTTCTATCCATGAAACTGAACATCCCCAAAACAATTTTTTTATTTCACCATGTAAAAAAAAATATCGATTGTACGTAATAGAGCCATATATGGTTTAATGTGATAAATTCCGAAAATGATTTTATATCAAGAATACTATTTAATTTATATATTTATGAAATAGGGTTATACCTATTTACATTTTCTGTAACACTTAATATAAAATTATATAAGATAAGAATTACACTTATAAATATAGCATTTTATATGGTATATACCTTTTTGTGTACAGAGAACGCCGCTCATACCACGTAACAGGATCTAAATAATGTTCCGTAAAAAAGTAATGAAACACTGGTTTGAAATTATTTAAAATAGCAAGGAACACTCTTAATTTTATTTCATTACTTCTTCCTTCATCGTGACATTTTGCAAGTTTTTGCCGCGCGACGTTGCTTGTTATATCCTGAAAATATTAGCAATCGATAAGACAGTGGTGCCGACAAAATGAGTCTAGGCGGGGGCACTGGCGTACTCCCCGACACGTAACAAAACGTTGTATCCAGACGATATATGTAATTATTTATATACATATATCTATTTAATAATAGAGAAATACCTATTTAATAAAAAAATAATAAAGGCCCCTCAGGTCTTAATAAGATCAGTAGATGCCAAAATAATAATTTTTAGAATTTTTGCTGCAGCATCACATAAAAACTGCTGTACCAAATTGGATACGATTTTCACAGTTGTATTCCTGAAGAATATTTTGTAGTTGATAATTATATTAATAATAAAAAAAAAAAATCCTCAGAAACTTGATACGGCGTCTAGACTTGGTCTATCCTACAAAATTTCTTATTTCCATAATTCATGCACGCGAAAAAATGGCTAAATACCAACAATCATCACGCCAATATATTTTTTAATGTAATTTTACCTGAGGTCTATAACGTGAATGGGCTCCATTATTTCCAGACAAATATGTTCCAATGGGCATTGTACCTTCGCACCACTCCAGTACCCCAGATAGACGTGACATTGGCACTACCTGTTTTAATATATAATAGTAAAATCAGATGTGGCAAAAGCAGAGACTGCAGGTTGAAATTGAAATCGTTAACATCCTTTAAAAAGTATTCTAGTTGCGAAACTGTACGCTCTAATAGCAGTCACGACAAAAGAGTCTGAATACGTTTGACCAGAATGAGACGGAGTTCGTAATAAAAACGATTATGAGTCATGGTATTGCTTTCCGCTGGGTATACACAGTTAAGTCTCTTTTAAATTAACAGTAATATACTATAATAATACAACTTCCTCTACGTTATTCTTGTATCGATAGCGCAGGCGAGGTTACCATTTCATTAATGTGCATAAAAAAGAATCCGTTATTATACAAAATCTATATTTATTCGTACTTTATATATGTCTTACATACCAAGAATATAGCGGTAAAAAAGGAACGAAACACTACAGTAGTAATTAAAGGATTAAGTGTACATTTCATTTATTTACAAATAAAGGACAGTTTATAAGTAAATATTAATCAATTTATAAATAAAAAAAAATACAAAATAAAGTTACCTTATAAGTGCGGATGGTTAATTTGTTTCTGCAAGTTATTGTGTTCTTTTCTAATAAAGTATTAACAATACTGAACACTTGTTGCATTACAGCGTCTTGTCTTAGATCATCTTTATCCTAAAAGTTGCATAATAAAATTATTATATTTACATAAAACATCCAAGTCTCTCTCTCTCTCTCTCTTTCTTGTGTTTTCTTCAACTAAGAAATAAATGAACCCTTATAATTATATAATTATTAATTAATTTAAAATAAAGACAGAATAACAATACAACTATTTTCACCACGAGAAAATAATTAAACTGAATTGAAATTATTACTGATAACATGTATTTAATAATAAAGTATTAGCCCCACTAAAAAATGGTATGTTTTATGGAAATCGATTAAGCGGTATACAGCTTGACCCCGAATGGCTTATTCAAGTTTTTCCCCATGAGGGTAATAAGTGCATAAGCACTCTCAGTCTTCAAGCATAGATGACAACATAGCTCGCATTTTAAACTAAGCACCAGATAATAAAAAATAAACAATAAGTAGCAGGAATAATTCATCTGGCTCTCCCTTAAAGACACCTATGTGAACCCCTCTATATATGTCCCGTAATCTTTATTAATTGGATTATTTAAGAGAAAATCGAAATATTTTAGGAATTAATTCAATTTCAACACTATGACCAACACCATTACGGAAACGCTGATTACTCTAGAATATAAGTTCTTAAATGAAAAAATCTTTACCTTTATTAATAAAATTTTTAAGCTTCCGTCTGAACTTCTGCAACTTATTTTTTTTGGATATGATTTCCCTCCCACCAGTTCGAAATACTTGTCAAATGATACTAAAGCTATAAAGTAAATAACAATTAAGTGATATATAAAAATGTATATTATGTAAAGTTTATAAGTATACACATTTTAAAAAATCTATTTTTTATACTTACTGGGAAAATAATTATAATCACAATCATGTTTGATTGGCAGAGAGATTGTAGGTATAGTTATAGCATCCAACCGACCCAGGTTGTTAATATTTTCTGCTGATGGAACTCTTTGTTTAGCCTCTTTTGACTTTATTTTGTAATTAGCAAAACTTATCATCGCTGAAAAATACAACAATAATAATATTTAAAGCTAATATTCTGTAAAAGTTATAATCCTTAGTAATTATAAATGTACAAGTGAGTTTGTTTGTTTGTTACCATATAGAGCCTTTACGATTTATCTTTATAAAATTTGGTATACGCGTACTATATGAGACTCATAATGAAATATCTATATTAATATTATAAAAAGGTGAGTTTGGATGTTCGCGGTAATCTCCGGTACTATTTATCTGATTTTAAAAATGCTTTCACTATTAAAAAGGTATATTATCCCCGAGTGTTGTAGATTACTTTTTATTTTAGTAAACATATATTTTCAATAACTAATCACAAGAAATGTAATTAAAGTCAGCAATAATTCAATAATATGGCGTGCACTGCCTGAACAGTTTGAAATAAAGAAATAAAATCTATAGCAAAAATGTCCGCGACACCCCTTTCAGATAAAAAAGAAATCGGTTTACAACTGACGAAGTTATGAGATAGCATGCATACAAAAATACTACTAAATTGAAAACCTCCTTTTTTAAGTCGAATGAAAAACTTAACTCTTACATAACAGTTTCTATTAGTGTATTTAAGATCTTTTTCCAAGAAGAGGAGAAAATAGTAGCTCATTAAAAAAGGCTAAATCTAATCTACTCTCAGACATGTCTCTGCTCTTAGATGAAAATTCTGTTCCTTTAACTGGGGTGAGCACGACCTGCTCGCCTCCCCCTAAGAAACTATGGCATGCCATTGGTAGTTTCTCATGTATATTTGGAAAAATTCACGAGAATACTGACCATCACATAATTTCTCCATCTGCGTTACAATAGTAGACAACGTGGCACTTTCGTTCGCCACTTCTTTAATAAGATTGTCGGCTGCTATTACGCGTGGCTCTTGCGATCGCTTGTACTGTGTTCGATAACCAATGTTCGTCGTACTAGTGTTCAATATAAATTTGTCCTTATCGGAGTTCTTTAAACTGAACAGAATTGGAAGCGTATGGTGCGGATGTTCTATTGCGCATCGCTCTGCAACAGAAACAACGTAGGTAAAGTATGTATAACTATTAATTAACAGAATTCATTTATTCTTCATCTACGAGTATACTTAGTATAATAAATTTCTACCATCGCACGACTTGCCATCGACAGGGAGTTCATCCTCATATCCTACAGCCTAAATGGTCGCGTACAGCGCAGTTTCAGAGATGTTTCCTCCCACGAACACTCAGGTTATAGAATGACCTCCCTGCCGAGGTTTTCCCAAGAGACTACAGCATGGGGTTCTTTAAAAGGGAAGTAAAGAGTTTTCTTCAGAGACGGCATTGCTAGCGTAATAATCTGGTTTTGCAGGTATTCATAGGCTACGGTAACCACTTACCATCAGGTGGGCCGTATGCTTGTTTGCCACCTCAGTGGTATAAAAAAGCGGAAGAATTTCTTTGTTTTAACGCGCTAAACTTTAGAAGAACCAATGACATTTGAAAAAACTTTTTGCATTTGATAGGTCATTTCTTGAAGATGTTTATAGGCTATTTAACACCACAACACGACCATAGACGAAGCTCCCGGGTCATGGCTAGTCGTTGAAACATCATAACGGAATTTTTACAAATTTCCACTTATTAGTAGGATTAATAGGATAAATCATATAAATATTATACTTATTATATTTCGTAAATTTGCAGCAAACACAGTATCTTCATTAGTTAGATGAGGAGCTAGCTGCGGCAATACGGTTATAAACTTGCGAGAAGGTATTTCATCTAATAAATCTTTAAAGTCGCCCTCTTCTAACACCAAATTAGGATTATCAAACCACAGAGAGATGACTCTGAATACAGACAGATTGCTCTCCTCACATTGTTTCAAAGATAGTAAATAATATCTAAAAAAAAGCAACAATTTGATATTAGAACATCAATTTTTTTTATCGTTTTCACTAAAAAAAAGTTTTTCAAATAGTAAAATATCTTTTCCACAACAGTATTAGCGGTGACTGTAACGAGACAGGGATATATACATCCGTACATAATCATACATCTCTCGCCCACCCCATCATAGCAACTTATTAACATTATATCCGCCGACGACACGGTTTTGAATGTATGAGCTTTTACCATATTATGATTATTAAAATTATTACAATTAAGTACGTAATAAAAAGTAATAATATATCTATTAATTTTATTAACTATATTTTATATTATTATAACTGTATACGGAAAAAAAAACTTATTGAATACAGTAAATTAAAAAAAAATTCTCACCTCATTGCAGAATACAAAAAGCTTTCTTTTTCAGCTTTGGTGAAACTGATTTCTGCTTCATCCAATTGCATAAATTTTCCATTTGTTCTTAGTTCTATTCTATCCTCACTACAAATAAAAATACCATACGTAATGGTATGGTCTAGACTAACATACTCTTAATATAATATCATTACAGCAATTTTATTGCAAGAGCAAAAAAGTATATGTTCTCAGTATAATTAAATAAAACTATAATAAAATTGTAAAAGCCGAAAATTTTGTCCATCTATCTACTTGCATCTCTGATGATTCACTTAACCATTTATTGTAAAACATACACATTTTTTTAATTAAGCTTATATTATTAACTGAGTACAAAGTATTACTAATATGTACTACTACGTTTAAAACATTTAAGATTGTATTACAATAAAAAAAAACTGACTTGATTTGTAACAAAACCAGTTATTTTTATTTAAAAAATAAACTACTAAATCGATTTTGATAAAATTCCCATAGGAGCAATCTGTAAATATAACCATTCAGGTGAAAAAAAGAATTTTCCAAATCAATTTATAACTGGCTAAAGTGGAACAAACATAAAAATACAACCGAATTGAGAACATCCTTCTTTTTGAAGTTGGTTAAAAATATAAAAAAAATCTTCAAAACCTATTTAGAAATATATAACTCTATTACTTTTTTTTCATTAACTAAAAATATTATTTCTAAAGCTTATGTTCATTTTATTCAATGTCTATATAAATACGGGCGATTAATGAATTCACTGTTTTTTTATCGCTTCCGAAAATTGTTTTAACTTCATCCGGATCCGGATGTTTTCTATAGGGGGCGTTTAGCGTTTGGCGTCACAGTGTCTCGCCTCGCAGTGCGGGCCATAGTTCGCATTGTCTGTGGTGACGTCTGTATGAGCGGGGGTGGGCGAAAATAGTGGTGACAGTGATTTTATTAATCTCCCATATTTATATAGAAAAAAAATTCTTTCAACCCTTACGATTACAGATTAACTCAATCGATCTAATAGCTAAACAGTGTTTATAGGCTTTTTATTTTGGGTAACAAAAACCAGCTTACTCAGTTAAGCCATCCTGTGCAACTTGAGACAAATTCACTGTTTCCTTCATTTTTTTTAAACATTCCACCTTGTTTTGGAATACTGAAGAATTCATGTATGATACCACCTAAAATCATAAATTATATCCTATTAATATTATAAATGCGAAAGTTTGTAAGAATGGATGGATATTTGTTAATCTTTCATGCATAAACTACTGAAATTTGGTATATAGGTAGGTCATATCCTAACTTAACAGATAGGATAATTTGTGTACTGATTCACGAGTTAACCCGCTGTATATATATAGTTAGTATTTAATAAATATTTTTACTACCTTTTGCGAAGAGAAAATAGACCATTCATTCATTCAATAAATATTATAAATTATATATTATAGTATACAACATATCATAATTTTAATATAATACTACCAGTTTACATTAATATTACATTAAAATATACGAAACTTTTAACAATAAAACATATGAGTATTTTAACTTATACACACCTTCTTATATTCGACATCACTGAATTTTGCAATGTCATTATACAATTTCAACATTGTTTTTGTATCGTCGCTTTTATTTAAAACGTCAAGGCTTCTTTTTAAATATTTATCTATAATATCCCTAGGACTATCACATTTCGACTCGGCCATCCATAAGCCAAATTGCCTAGTAAATAAAATTTTCAAGTAATTAATAAAATCTTCCAGTATTCTTATAATACAATCAGTCTTATGAAATCCTAATTAGACCATACATACTATAATTTTAGTGTAATTTTCAGTGAATAATTTCATAAACAAAAAATTATGTAGTGAGTATTTTAACAAAAAGGGATGTGTTAAAAATGTGTCAATACATAATAATTAACACATATTCCATAGCAAGAGTTTCATATTATGAACAAAAAATAATACGCACCTTAATGATATCGCCGAAGGGTTGTTATTGGAAACGACGTCACGTAACAAGGACAGGGCTATATCTTTATGTCCTTTAGCCCAAGAAATTTGACTCTCTAATAGAACTATTTGTTCCGACGACTCCAACTTTTTAACTGCTGCTAAAAGTCGTTGTGCCATTTGGACTCGTTGATTAGTTAGACTAAGTTCTGAAAATTTTGAGATAGTAACATTAAACTTACACACACGCAATAGTTCATTTAAAACAAGGGAAAAATATTTTTCTTATAAAACTTGAAATGGCAAACAAGTTGACAGCCCAACTGATTAAAAGCGGTAACCATCACCCGTAAATATGAACAGTGCAATGGCATCATAGAATATACTATGATGCCCATTCCACTCATATATCAAATTAAATACTCACCAACATACTGTAACTGTAACGATATAATATCTTTCACAACTCCAACATGTGTCTTTGCTGCATTTTCGAGCATCATATTCCGTTGACTTATTAGATCTTCTAGGTGCTTAAAATCATGAAATGCTGGCAGTTTTTCAACTCGCCATTTACTAAGCAATGTTTCTATTGGAAGTTCATATGTTCTTACGGCGAAATAATCTTCAATATCACAAAACAGGTGGATCTTTGTTAATACTTTATATACATTTTGGCAATTTTCCATATTAAGATCCTGGCATAACCTAGATACCGCAAGCTTCGCTCTGTTAAGAGGTACAACAAGTCTATTGTCCAATTTAGGTGTAACTTGTAAGGTTAGGCAATCTTTGAGACAAGCGTACCGAAATGCTTTTATAATAGATTGAGGATTACAATTACTCTCTTCAAATTTCTCTTGCAAACTTCGAGTGTCTACAATATCACTCCAGTCACCTAAAATATATTCATCAATTTAGTAAAGGCTACTTCGTATACTGGTCACGCGAGCAAAGTTGTGGATAAAAACTAGTGAATAATAATTAATAAGTAAATAAATAAATATATTCCAAAATGATAAAGTTCATTATCCGGTCAAAACTCTTCTTTCAGGCTAAAATACTACATCTACGTCTAATAAAAATTATAAACCAATGTTCCACAAAACGACACCAATCTACTAAACTAATATATGATAGAATCAACACAACAATAAACACTTCCGATGAAAAAAATTAAATAAAATATACAATCGAATTCACCTTCTTTTTCTCCTTCTTTACTTTGCAATTTCCTATAATTGGATAGAACTTATATTCAATAACATATTTTTATATAATATTCTGCACTCACCCAGTGAACTCAAGCATTCATACTTCAAATCATTTAGTTCATCTGATTCTGGCAAAGACTTGATGTGCTGTAAAGCTGTATGGTACATTCCGGACTTTTGAAGCGATTTCAGAGTACCGTAGTGCAGTTCCATGTTGTTGTGCCCTCCTCCCGAAAGTCCGATGTCGTACAACAACAGCGCGTCCGTATATTGACCAGAATTTATAAGGTGTTTGCGTCTCTCATCTTCGATAGTCAAATGGGCTGTGCCGCAGCCTTCAATGGCGTCCATTTCCCCAATAGAAACATAACACTGCAATAATTATTTGTTGCTTAAATTTGCCTTAAATTCAAAATAAACTTATACCGTTAGACTATTTATAGAGTTATCTGCGTATTGAATACCTGTGTCTCCATCATATATTTGCCACCAAATCGCATTATATACATGACAGTATTTCAGACTATAAGACAAAGAAAAATAGTGTATTTATTGATACGAAGGCGTAACATAATAAAACCTTAGGAATAACAATGTATAGATATGAAAAATACAATGGATATCACACAAACATACAATATTTATGTAAATTTCATTCCCTTTATCAGTAAAAATTAATCAGACGTTATAGGATATAGAAAAAAAAAGAGGGTATTATTGAGACAAAACTTTACAGTAATATCATTAAATTATTTTAAACAATATATTTCTTTAAATAAGATAAATGCTGTAGAGATGAGAGCTTTGAGAAGTATGTGTGGTATTACATTAAAAGATAGAGTAAGAAACAGTGTGATTAGAGAGAAGTGTGGACTGAAAGACGATGTAGTGACAAAAATCAAAAAAGGAATGTTGCGTTGGTTTGATCATTTGGAGAGGATAGATGAAAGAAGAATTACGAAAGAGATTTATCGAGCAAAAATGAATGGAGATGTCGGTAGGGGCCGCCCTAGATGGACGTATGTTGACCAAATAGGCGACGTGCTGAAGAAGGGCCAAATTAAAAGTACCCGTAACCGGCGAGCGTGTATAAAAAGATTGATGAATGTGGAAGAAGCGAAAGAGTTTGTTTGAATCGAAGTATTTGGCGTTCCATTGTTTCTGCCTACCCTAATGAGAGACAGGCGTGACAGATATGTATGTATAATTTTTTAAAACTAATTTACCTAATATAATACCTCACCTTTCTCATTATACGTTGAATGTCTTTGCCGCCGTCCAAGACTGTGGTAGCTTCAGGCGAAGATGGTGGAACTTTATCATTTTGATACATCGCCCAAAGCTCACTATAATATATGGCAACTAAATTCTGATCGATGACAGTCGCTGCCCATGCCACTTTGTCATATTCAAGGTTCAACGTATTCAATGTTTCGGCCGAACAATTTAATCTGTAGATAATATTATTAAATTCAGACCAGAGGGAGACTTTATACAAAAAACGTTTGCTTGGGCGCCTCTGTCCCATTTTCGTTTCTACCGTGAAGCAGTTGTGTTTGCATGGCTGGGTTTCGGTTTGAAGTGTGGGATATGGCAGTGAGTTTACATGGTACAGAGGAATAACACCTCAGTCCTCCAGAATAGAAACCCATGGGGGGTATTATTGGCGAAACAGTATATTATGTCCATGGTATTGTTCATGTCTATAGGCAACGATTACCACTTTCCATCTGGTGGTCCATCAACTTGCTTGCCATTCTAGGTTGCATAAAAAAATTAAAAAAAGTAATTTTATTAAATAAAATAAATTACCATTGATTATAAGATATAATATTAAATGACGCGACTTACCTAGTTGGATAAAATTTACTTTGTAGACGAATAAAGTTAACAATATCTAGCATGTATTGAATGACCATTTTATGATCACGATCCAGAATATTTGACGCTGTGTTGTTTACGATACTGTCTCCACTGTTTTCGACTTTACTAGCAAAAGTCGTTTCCCATATGTTATTAAAAAAGCTATTAATATGGCCAGAGATAACTTTTACATGATTTTTCTTAGCACAATAAAGCAGCAAACCAATTAAAGGTGGCAAAATTTTCTGACACACACTAGCCTGAAAAATTTTAAATGTTATAAATCCGAAACGTTTATTAGTTTTGTTTCTTGTAAAAATGTTACTACGATAAATCAATATATATAATAAAATGCTCGCTGTCTGTACATGGATGACATATAAGAAACACTATTACAGAGTGTTTTATGAACAATGATTTCTAAAAACAATGATTTTTAGAATTTTTGTCTGTTTATACGTTTTTGCACGCTAATATCAGAAACGGCTCAATCGATTTGAATGCAGTTTTCACTAGTGTTCGTTTTATTTTAATCAATGTTATATCAATGTAAATAATCACATATAAAATGCTACAAAATAACCGATCAATAAAAAAGTTCCTTTTATTATATGTGTTGATTTTCGAAAATTCTGTCTAACGTGCGAAGCCGGCTCTAATAGCTAGTATGGAATATATTCCCTAAATTAAACAAAATACTCGTAATTACTGACAATTATAATTATTTTTATTTATATTTCACTTTATTTAGTTTATTATGGTTAGTAGTTTGCTTAGAAAAAAATTATATGATTTAAAAAATAATAAACACAATACAAACACTTTAAAATAATAAATACAATACCTTTAAAAGACACACGTTGTGTAATTCACTGAGATAATTGGTACCAGAACACAAAATAATCAATGTAACGGTTGTAACACGTATTAGCCATTGTTCATGTTTTTCATTTCGATTAGGTACCCAAAAAGAATGCTGTTCACTATACGAAATAAATAATTCTAAGTGAATTTTAAAAACAGCGACCTTATTTGGCTCGGAACACTCAAACGGTTTCAATATATGTTTAGTTAATTCTTGAATATCTGTAAATACGTTAGTAAAATTATAACCCTATCGTTGTCGTCTCTTTTATGCATTTACCATTTTTTCTTATCTTGATCACAATCAGAACTTACTTTTATCTAAAATATACTATTTTTTAAATTCATTGAAGATTCTAACTTAGAAATTTTAAAATTCGAACTGATTTTTTTCGGAAGATCCCAATTTTCTTGAAAATTTAAGCTAATATCTATATAATTAAGATGCTCATTTAATTTAAAATGTTTGGTTGCTTTAATAAAAATAATTAAAAACCATGTTTTCAAATAGTCGTTACTTACCCGCAACGCATCGAGCGTTGTTGCCATCTTGAAATTTTAATAAACTATTCAATGTTATAGCTGCTTTATTAGTAACATTAGGATTTTCATCGAATAAAATATCTGAGACAGACATCATTACTGTGCTCGCAAAATAGTCTTGCGGCTGAATATTTACTATCCTGGTGGTGTTATTTGCTGGCACTGTTACTAATGTTTTTAAATCATAATTTCCTATCTCTGAGAGGCAAGTGGTTGCTTCAATAATTGTCTGTTAAATTCGAGAATAAAATTAATATGCCATGACTAAATTTAATGAAATTTTCTATTAATATAGTAAAAAAATATATTTCAATAACATAATACAATAACTAGTCATAGTATAAATACACAAACCTTCGTATCTGATGCGTATTTTAGAATGTTACTGATATCATTTATAATCTGGTGAATTATACTTGTCTCACAATTTTCTGAAAACCCTCTTGCATCCAATTCTATACATAAATCATCCACATATTGCTTATTCATTTTCAAAAAATTTGACATTTTTACTAGGGTTTCATGGCTGTAACAATATGTGTGCATGTGTCTTGTGTTTCAGATTATATTTATAAAAATATTATACAAAACATATAACACTATAATATATAACACAATAAGGAATATTACCTTGGACACTTCAAGCCCAGTCTATGTGTTCTAAGCCGATTTAAAAATTCAGTATTCGTAGAACAAGTATCATTTTCAATAATACCTTGAGACATTGATTGTATGTAATCAACAACATCATCACTTTCCTTCAAATATTCTTTCATGTCTACTATTAGATAATTTAATAATAACTCAAAATCTTCTTCATAACCATCTTCTTTCTTTATTAATAAAATGGCTAATAAATGAGATATGGTCGTACGCAGGTCGTTTACTTTTTCCGGGATATATTTATTTAGTACAATTTTTAATGAATTAGCTAATATTTTTACTTCCATTTTGTTTTTTGATTTTTTTATTGCTTGCCCTAAACTATTGCACACAAAATTACATACAAATGCATCAGAGTGATGACCCAATGGAATGATATCTATGAATGTTAGGAATGTATTTAACAACAATATTTTATATTCAAACACATTCTCCTGTAATACATTTTCCCACAATTTGAATAATGTCTTGAATATGACCACTGGTTGGTTATCGCACATATATTTTAAGATATTTTCATCAGTCAATTCCTGGAAAAAAACCATAAAGTTTATATACTAACAATATGTATGATAGAATCAATATTATAATGCTATGCTAAAGCAAATTTTTCAAAGTGTTATGTTTAACAAATAATCTATTAAACGTTATTAAAAATTTCACATAGACTAAATGGTGGCTATATGGTAATGCAGTATACAAGTTCCTTAAATTGTTTTCAATTTGATTAAACACTGTGTAATAAACTTATAACATATTTAGGCTATGGTAACTCCTTACCATCAGGTACGCCGTATGCTTGTTTGCCTCATTACCTCAGTATAATAAAATATATACATAAAAAAAATATTCAAAGTGTGGATGGTTATTTTGTGATTGCAGTCTAGTGATTCAATAATAATAATAATTAGATAATCATACCCCAAAATACGTAAGTATGGCAGAGAATATTCTCTTTGGGTAGTAATATGTCTCCGTATGTTGAGCAAGTTCTATGCCAAACTTTTGTCCAGCTTCTATATTATCACTCAAATGAGTCGCTGTTAGCAACAACAAATCTGCTATATTTTCCACAAATAAATTACTCCATTTGTCATTATCTAAAATATTTCTGGTGGTTTGAAATAATTTATGAGCGTTCGTTGTCATGGATTGATAGTGGCTTGGATTTCTTGTTTTCAAATCATCTAATCCATATTTTTTTGCGGTAATATATGGAAGGCATAACAGTATGATATTACAAAAGCAGTCCTGTAAATAATTTTACAAACTATTATAAACTATGAAATAAAAATGGTAAAAATAAATAGCATATTCAGAGTTAAATCGAAATTACTGGCATAGTAATATTAAACTGAACGTATTTGCCTAAGGATCATGGATCGAAAATAGCAAACTTAATATTTATCATGTTAATATAAATCATCACACAACACAGTATACTGTGATGACCGTGGCACTGTTCATGTCTATAGGGAACAGTTAACACTTTCCATCAGGTGGTCCGTCAGTTTGTTTGCCATACAAATTTTGAATTAAGTTAGAATGAAAAAGAAATAATACTGGAAATGCATTGAATATATTGGATATATATGCGGATACGTCGAATTGTTTATTTAAACACAGGTTTATAGGTTTAACAGGCTCAGACTATATAATAGTCCTCAATACGCAGCGTCCAGTCATTAGCCACCTTCAAAAACCTAATTAAAACTCACTTCATGTCATTATAATTTTTTCTCTCTCTTGTCTTGTTTTTGTCCTCTCCATACCTACTTGTCAAGTAATAGAATGTAAGATATATTTCTTTCTATTAAAAGCAACAAATATAATAATTCTAATACCTCAATAATTCTTTCCTCTGATGTTTCATATTTATTTTTAATTTCTTTCACAAGATCACTAGATTTTATATTGCCACCATTGTGCCACAATATTTCAGCCGCTACAACCCATTTCATATGCGTCCGTACGAATTCTTCTATGGTATCCATCCCGAATAAAGGTGCAGGCAAATCGTTTATGCTATATTGATTGCAAAACCAAAAATTCAATATCGACAGTACATTACTGTTCAAGTATACGTCTAGATCGGTACTAGCAATAGTACGAGTTATTATATTTAGTACCTTCTTGACCAAATTTAAATCCAAAGATTTTTCTTTTTGCGTCTGCAATGTCAATGTGATTATTTTACGTAATAATGAACTGTTTGTTTGTGCTATCGCTAGAAAACTGTGCATTACGGTCGAAGTACGATTCGCTGATTCATCTGTTAGAATTAACTCTCTTCTGTGTGATACCTTAAAATGAAAAGTAAAATATGTTGTGAAAATATGCTCTATATATTTTCTCTATATTTTTGCTTTCTTTTATAAAGTTTCTATATAAAGATGAAATTTTCAATCATATTAAATGGTAATAACCTAAAACTTCGGCTCAATCTCCAAAGCACATAATAAAGCTGCAAGCATACAACTACACGATTATCCATTCGCTGGATAGCTAAACTGGATAATTATTTAGATACGAGATAATTCAAACTCTATACTAAACTGTGAAAAATTATTATAGTACTTTTTTTTTGTTATTAATTACAACGAAAAGTAAGCAATATTGATATAAAGCGGATATGACGAAGATATTTAAATTTCGTACATACATTGACTGTGAATATATCTTCTAATCCAATTAAGTATGAGTCAATGTCAAAATAAGACAAATCAACAATCAACAATTTCAACAAATAAACACAATGCAAACGGATGCAGTGGATATCTCCTTTTGTTCTATCAATTAAGATCGTCTTGAACGATTCGATGTCATATTTAGGATTCATGTCATGTTTCAGACTCAATGCGACTATTTTTGCTGCACTTTTGTAAATCAGTCCGGCCACATGTGGAGGATAATATAATTTGATACATCTATCCAAGTAACTCTTGACCATAATAAAACAATTTTGTTTCGTATTACTGTCTCGAGACCATATACGATCAAGCATACAGTTTAAAATTTTTACCAATCCAAAAGTTGCTTTGGGATTTCTAAACAAGTCTTTACACATGAATTTCATAAGATTAAAAACTGAATCTGAAAAAAATATAATTATTAAAATATAGAATTTTAAATAATTAATAAACCTAACAAAGATACTTGTGCATCACAATGAGATCAACATTTTTACTCACTTATAACAGCATTCATAAAACCGAATAACTTTCCTCGAGGAAAGAGACGAAACAAGATTTTTTTTAAATTTTTCATACAACTATTGATTAACAATAACTTTTGTATCTATATTAACTTTTATTATCGTTCGTAAATATATATATTACTAGCTGACTCGGCAAACGTTGTTTTACCATATACGTTATTACCATATCGAGAATTATACATGAAAATGTATCCTACTACAATTATTATATTCGATTGCCATATTGCAAGCCTATTGCAGAATATAAAAGTCGCGATTAAAAAACAGGGGTTGATCATAAAAGGATGAAAATTTGAATTTGTATGTATTTTTCAATGCTAAATCATAATAAAATTAAAATAAAAATATTTGTTAAAAAAATTAAAAAACATATTTAGGAGCGGGTCACCCTTACCATTGACGGGTATGAAAAAAAGATGATGGCCGATTCTCAGACCTACCCTAATATGCACGCAAAATTCATAAAAATCGGTAAAGCCGTTTCGGAGGAGTTTGGTAACAAACACCGCGACACGAGAATTTTATTATATTAGACTAGCTGACTCGGCAAATGTTGTTTTACCATATACATTATTTCTAGAATTATACGTAAAAATATATCGTATTATAATTATTATATTCGATTATCATCTTGCAACCCTAGTACGACATATCTATAAAAATCGCCATTAAAAAACAGGAGTTGATTGTAAAAGCGTGAAAATTTCAATTTGTATGTATTTTTCAATGCTAAATCATAATAAAATAAAAATAAAAAAAAATTGTGAAAAAAATAAAAAAAAAATATTTAGGGGTGGGTCACTCTTATCATTGAGGGGTATGAAAAATAGATGATGGCCGATTCTCAGACCTACCCAATATGCACACAAAATTTCATAAAAAATCAGTAAAGCCGTGTCGGAGAAGTTTGGTAACAAACATCGTGACACGAGAATTTTATATATTAGATTACATATATAATAAAATATTACCTATTGGAGCTTCCTCTACTTTGGCATCAGTTAATAATTCGATACATTGAAATGCACACTGAACATCCAAATGGCATGTAAAATTATACAAATTCGGTTCTAATACTGTATCTAATAATTCATTTCTATAATTTTCTTGTTTTCTACAATAAGCCGCAATAAGAAGTATACAATTTCGTTTCAAACCAGCGAAACTAGTTTCTTGTTCATCCTTTTCACATTCTTCAATGTCATCATCGGTGGCACTTTCTCTATTCAAGATCTCCATAATGCAGTGAAAAAGCTCTTCACCCATCCATTGGCGTACCTCAGCACAAAGCAGAGAATCATATTCAAAAACAACCAGTTCTTGTACATATTTTGTAACAATATTTTTATGTAAATTTAGGACGTTATCATCTTTTAACATATTAACTAATGTCACATACATCAGCTTAAGTGATTCTTTTAATAGACCATACACCTGAATCTCTATTATTTCATTGTGATTTACAACATCATTCTTCAACGTGACATCTAAGTAAGCTAACACAAGTCTGACAAGTTTAACATATTCTAACAATTCAATATCATTCTCATTGATTTTGGAAGTATTTTCAGACATTTTATGTTCTAAATATTTACATATCTCATTATGCATTTCAATATTTGCTTCAATGTTTTCATCTATATCTTTATTATCAGAAACTGGTTCAGATTTTAGATGCAATTGAAATTCGCTAAATAATATGCACCTTTCAGTGGAGCCAAATAATGTATCATACAAATTATCACAGTCCGAAGGCGCCAAAAGGGTCTGTCGTAGAAATATATTTTCATTTGCCACGAGTCTCCACAACAGTTCTTGCAAACAAATCACATTAATAGAGGTAATTGAACCTTCCATTAGCCACGAAAGGCATTTATAACGAGTGTCTAATTGACTACATTTATTGAAAAATTTTTGAATTATTTTATTTAAGGTGCATACACTGTGGTTATTGACGGGCATGCCTTTTTCAATATATAATTTAATTAACGGTTGTACATTTTGGTATGTTAATTTTGTGGATTCCAGTAATAATTGCATGACTGTATGTAACATTCTTTGCATGGCAGTTGCAGTTGTTGAATGTCTGAAACATTATTGGTTTAGTAAATAGTAATTAATAAAAAATATTCTTCTCCCCAAAAACATATAGCTATCTTAAATAGGTGGAACAAAAATCGGCATTAAGCAAAATAAAGAGGCAACACTGAACATAACTTCCGTTACATTTTTCCAAAAAACATTAGTTATTAATATTATTAATAACTAATATTTCTTGTTATATTTATTAATAAGTAATATAATATTAATTAGAATTGTTAAATTTGCATTTGGTCAAGGCGTAATAATATGAAAAAAAAGTCGGAAAATGGTCAGAAAATTAATAATAGTAAAGTAATAATGAGATTATTGTAACAAGCACTGTCTGTACTTTTATATATATATATATATATATATATATATATATATATATATATATATATATATATATATATATATATATATATATATATATATATATATATATATTAGCAGGATTCATACATACATCATATTCATTGATACACATCTGTCACGCCTATCTCCCATTAGGGTAGGTAAAAACAATGGAACGCCAAATGCTTCAATTCAAAAAAGTCTCTTTCGCTTTCTTCACATTCATCACTTATCTAGCTGGCTTCAAAAAGAATTACAGTCTCTTTCATAGAATATAATGAAAATATAAGCAAACAAATAATTAACACAACCCTAAGACAGCCTGCTAATATCCAATATAAGTATAAATAAAAAACCAATAAAATTGATTTAATATTTCGATTAGTTACCATTACTCATTTAATTTTACGAGTTTCTGGAATAAGTTCAACAAAACTTCGTTACTTTTTATTGAATTACATTTAAACAACCTATAATTCCTTTTATTTGTTAATAATTTTGAAATACATTGTACTCGTAAAATATTCCCCATAGTTCCGGTAAAAAGGTCTTACCTTACACACGCCTTCCACAATAAGACAAAGTGCTCGTCATTATCTCTGTCCGAACGGTCATTCATAGTCTTTATAATTAAACAACATAACGCCTCGAAAATCTCACAGTCGAAACTGTAAACACCCTTTGATATTGAACTTTCCATTATGCACAACAACGACAAATAGTCAGCTGTGGATACTGTATCACCATATTTTTCAATAAACTTATATATTATACCCAACCTAGAAATAAAATATAAAAATTGATTAATACTTTCCTTAAAGCTGATTAAGGTGTCCACTAAAGGTCCTCTAAATGATTTTATGTCTACATAAATTGGAACAGTTTTGAAAACAATATGATTTATTTAAATAAGGATTTAAACAGAAGTATGAATAACATGGTGTAATTTTGGTCGGTATTTCTATCAACTTAAAATGTAAAAAGTGGTTATTGTGACATAACGATAAAATTAGGCATATAGTATCGCGAAGTTTTTTGTAGTTATTGATGTTTTTTTTCAATGTTGTAGAACATATTTTTGTTCTATCACTAATAGTTTCCGCAGCGCACGCGACGAAAGATATTTTATAGCATTTTTATACCTTGAGTTACGTTACTAAAGTTTTAATAAAAATCCCTAATTTTTTCTAGCAATAAATAATGCCTATGTTACTCAGGGTGAATGTAACTTTCTAATGGTGAAAGAATTTTTGAAATCGGTAAAGTAGTTTTTGAGTTTATTCATTACCAACATACACACATGTAGATGTAGATTAATGAATTCATGTCACTAAAAAATCCCTTTTCTTTCATGGCTCAATATTCAAATAGCTTCATTTTATATTCTTAATTAATTTTTAATCTGCCGACAAATTACTGACATATTTATAGTTTAAATTATTTAGACTTATTAATTATATATATTGTATTATTATGAATGATTATTGTAGCTAGGTCTTTTTTAATTTCTCTTTTTTTTTTGTATAATTGTGATTCATTCGTGATTATATGAAGGTATTCTATGCTCCCACTTCCCCTCAAATTGCAAGACATTCATCTTGTAACACGTGTTCTTACATGTTTATAAAATTACTAAACGAAGCTTAATTGTTAACTTTAATTCTTAGTTACAACTAATATTGTATCACATGTTTACAAAATATACACATACCATGGAATATGATTATGTTGAAATTCTACTATGAGATCACTAAATGTTTTATTCTTATTAACAGTCATTCTTGGCCTTTTCGGTGTATTTTCCGATGTAGATTCTTCGACATCCAAAGACAAATTAAATATCTGAATAATAATGTAAAATTAAAATTTTACAATTATTTATTGTTTTATAGATATATAGAAAGAAATAAATAATTTATTCAATTATGCGACTCACATGCGACTGTGTCACATGCGGGGCACCAGTGAAGGATGATAGGTGAGGATGAAGCGGGTCAGTTAGCCCATCGTGACGAATTCAACAAGAATTGTTCACGATGGTTTCCAGGGGGAACCGCGTGGAGGTCGACCTAACAGGGCATATTGCCAGCAATGAGGCTATCAAACTCCATTACTAACAATCCCTTCCCCCCCCCCCCCCCATATAGGTAGTATTATAAATATATATAGCGGAAGATTATTTAATTGAACATGCTAAGCTCTAAAACTAGTTAGATTTGATTATTTTTGCATTATATCGCTCATTTCAAAATTATAGGCTAATCAACATCATGATATAACTACGGGTAAAGTAGCGAAATGCAGTTAGTCATCATCATCATATCAGCCGTTAACTGTCCACTGATAAACATAGGCCTCTCCCATAATTCGAATAAATGGATCTCATAAACGGATTGGCAACCGCAGTTACGCCTTTGGTGAGGTTTTAAGAGGTATTCTGTTGCCCATCCTTCAAGCATTAAGTTCCTTCAGCTGCCTCGGGGGAAAGAAAAGAATACAGTTATAGATATAATTAATATGCTATATGTACCTGATAATAAACTGATGCAGATAGAGAAAAATATTGACTGGACTGTTTAATATATACATCAATTTGTTTGCGAAGTTTCTGTAAAAAAGTAACCTCTAGGCATATAATTTCCAAAATACTATTCAAATGTTTATTCCAAATTTGCCAGTCATGCGCTAAACTGCCTTCATTTTTCTGTAATGTTCCCTTTGGATGATGAAGAACTATTATTAGTTCCAACAACTCAAAAAAGGAGCACTGAAAATAAACAATATTATTATTTATTATCAAAAGCAATCATGAGAAAAACAATCAATGGAGTTTGTTAGGAACTTATTATAGGCATTTCATTTTACACATTTTAATACTATAGGACTCTACTGCAACTATACGTTTACCTTTCTCTTTTGGTCAATATTTTGATCATAAAAATTTAACAATGAGCTTAAGACATTTTCAGTGAACTCGCACATCTCCAAGCGGCTTTCTGACGCTAGCTGTAAACAAAGACAACTTGTAGTAACTATATATTAATAGACGAACAACACCGTACTGAGGGGAAGGAGTTTTGAGTGGGACCCAAGAGTAAAGTGGAATTTTAAGGTACTTATATAGAATGACAAATAAACTGGCAGCCCACCTGATGAAAGTAACCACCGCTAAAACAGTGGCAAAGGATAATTGTAAAGCCACACATCAGTAGAAGGTCGAATGAAATTAAACAAATTTATGCCTGAACTACAGGCTATGTAGCCATGAAAATGTGTAGGCTACTTCGACACTGCCCCTCCTCCTGGAGACTTTTAGGCCATCAAAAGTTAAGGCTGATACTGATCACAAATAAAATGACTCTCCGCTAGATGCAATACGCTACATACAGAATTCAATAGCTAACTTACATTAACAATATATAATAACACATTAAAATGTTAGTATGGTTCATGTATATTGTAATCGTGTATTTGAAGATGACGCTCTTAGTCGACTGTAACACTAAAGAAATATCTATGAAATTACATTAATTATTCTTCTTACATATCCAACGTATAAAACTATTCTATCGACACTACTCTCGCCATTCAAACGGTTGTAAAGTAATATAATTTGTACCCAGCACCGAGAACAAAACCGATAAAGAGTGAATTATTGTACGTACCGTCTTCAACAGTATAATCATAATTTCAATCATTACTTCTTGTGTTTTTTTGTCATTCACAATTTTGAGGAAACATTTCTTTAATTTTGATAAACTATCTCTCATGGGTATTACAAGTTGACAATATTCTCGTCCAGTCTTGAGAATAAGCCAGACTATCCTCAACTTTGTAAAGTCATCCAATGTAGAAGAATTTGAACGGCACATAGCAATAGTAACATCAAGAAGATCTAAAAATATAATAAGACAACTCTTTAAAATTTTATAAATTATATATTTGTAGGAGAATAAGGAAACAATAATTGTGACGCTTTATACGAGTTGCGTTTGACTGATTTAAGACCGAAATTAATCCGGAATTAATTATCTCAAAATTCGGATCTTAAGACTATCAATTTGTAAATATTACAGTTCCATAATAAGAGTAATTTTTTGTTTAAAAACAAATAGACATACTCTGCAAAAAAAAACAATCTTAAGAATCAAATTACATAATTATACGTAGGGCAAATTGAAAATGTTAGCATCAGCACGACCTGTAATTTTTGTTTATTATTACATAGGTACATAAAAAGTACTAGAATTACAGATTGAGAACTTCTATGAGCAGCTGTAAATGTCGTCGTTAACACCGCATACCAATATAATAAACGACCAGAGAGCTAAAATCACCCATCACTATACCGATATTGAGATACATACACATGCTACAGCAGATTATACAAAAGACCAAAGATTATATAATCCACCGTTATATCTAGTGTTAGTGGACTAATATGAGAAAACTTTCGATTTGGTCGAGACATGGGCGATATTAGTCACTCCAGCGGTGCCAGATGGACTATAAGGTATATCGAAGTGACAGTATTACACAGGGTGACCCTGAAACTATTCAGCTGCATTGAAAGGTGTTTTCAAACTCCTGAACTGAAAAAGATATTGTATAAACATCTATGGCAAATACATCACTCAATTTCGATTTGCCGATTATACAATAATCATGGCAGAATCCCTGGAGGACTAGTATTTATACTATGCTTTATAGATTTAATAGATATTTAGACAAGCATGAACAAAACCAAAATCATGTCTACTACGCTCGAAGTTCTCGACGTGTATGTATACCTGGATTAACTTTTCCTTCTAATTAAGTCCAACGTTGACAGAGAAGTTAACCGACGAATCCAACTAGGCTGAGCAGCGTTCGGAAAACTACACCACATCTTCTCATCCAAAATGCCTCAAAGTTTGAAAACGAAGATCGACCAACGCGTGTTGTCAGTGATGACCTATGGAATCGAAACATGGTCCTACACGGTCGCCCGTATGCAAAGGCTTCAAATTACTCACCGGGCTAAGGAAAGGGCTATGTTCGGAATTTCTTTGCATTGCAAAACCCGACATGAGGATATCTGCAAAAGAACTAAAGTGACTGACATAGTCCGAAGGATAAGATGGCTGAAGTGGCAATGGTCTGGTTACAAAGCTCGAAGAACCGACCACCGAGGGGGTAGGCAGGTGGCTCAGAACCGTTTCTTATGACAGTCTATGGGGGAGGCCTATGTTCAGCAATAGACAGATAATCGCTGCATACTGCGACTTTACCCGCGTGAATCAGTACATAAAGTGTCCTATGTACTAATTTAGAATATAACCTACTCGTGTACCAAATTTCATTTTAATCCGTTTAGTAAATTTTGCGTACGATACGAGTAATAAAAATCAATCTATCTTTACACCCCTCCATCCTTACAAACTTTCGATTTTATAATATTAATAGAATAATATAAATTACAACACATATTTGAACACAAATTCGGTTATATAAGGTGAGGCATTACACAAGACTGGCAAAAAGTTCTCAAGTAGTAAATATTATAGCAAAACTTACCTTCCCAATTACTTGCAGTGATGAAGCTTAAATAATAATCATGTGGCAAAACATATTTATACAGCATACTGAAATATGCATCTCCAATAGCTTTTGTTAGTCGAGTATCTTTCAAAACATTTAAAGATGCCGATATAATCACATCACAATTTATATATGCTTTACCTGGGAAATGAATATGTTTAATAAAATATATCTACTTAACGTATATATAAAATTATATATAATTTTCATCCAAATCGGTTTAATAGCAACAGACAGGGGTAATGTGACAGATTGATTATATGATAATTATGTAGTAGGTATGTATGGTTGGTATACAATTTTAATATTCCATAAATTAAAAACTTCAACTTATATTTATGTCTTGATATCTAACTATGTCTTCTATACAGCCTTACCAATTGTGACTCATTATATCATCTCCATGGACATAAATTCAACCATCATATAAAAACATGGTAATGGGAAAAATCTTTTCTATGGAAATGTAGATCCAAGACATGAAATGCAAATTTCCTTGAAACTAGCCACTTTTTTATCACTAAGTGCTTTTTCATGCTATGTTTGAAGGATCCGAGATTATAGGATAAAGGAAAGACCATTCTATATTAATAGGGTATGGTGCACGTAAGAGTTAATAAACTTATTTGTACTTGAGAGCAGACTGTCAAGCGTGTATGGATATAGTCGCTGTTCTAACTCCGTGGTGCGATATCAGAAAGGGGAAGGTGAAATAACAGAATTAAGTTGTTTTAAGTACTCTTCATGGAATAAGCGGTAGAAGACACTGAGGGAGGCTACATTTCTACGTAATTGTAAAGGTTCTAAAGTTTTGTTCACCTCAGCATCTCACACGATACGAACAGTTCATCTCTACATAACATCAAGAGCGTGTAGAATGTACTGAGCAGAGCCATGCCAGAGTTATGAGCAGTGTGCTTTATAGCAGAAGGCTTTCTCTGGTCTGAAGTACTGTCGCGCTCGGTTGAGATCTCAGAGTTTTTATGCTGTTTTAGCCACACTCTCTACTATTGTTATCAAGATAGATGGAATACAATTAATATGACTATGGTAAAGCCTTTGCAGAACAGAGTATTAGAAATGATTGAATATTTATTACCTTTATTAGCACCAGAAATACACAAGTGAAGTAAACTTGCACATAAAGGTCCTGTCACATTGTTGAATGTTTTAGATGTTTCAAAATTTTCTGTTTCCTAAAAAAAACAAAAGTATAAAAATTTTTAACATCTATAATCACAAATGGGACCATCACATATGACTAATTGTTGTAAGATCCAAAAGACAACATGCCCATATTTTACAGAGCACTACATATTTATAGCAAGCTTTTTACCAGCTACTCCTAGAGAGCATATCCAAATGAAACATACACCAAAATTTAAGCTGGAGCTTCAGCTATAAAACTGTAAAAATCTCATTAGTACAGTAATTTTTGTGTGATGCGAGAACAAACAGAGAAACCGACAAAATTTCTAAAAATTATTGTTTTGGCATCCATTAATCTAATTAAGGTCCCTTATATTAATTTTTCTTTATTATCTCCATTGACATACATGGTCTAGTTATAATTTTATTATATTAGTATAAGATATACAATTTATACGTTATACATTTACTTGAGCAATTTCAAAGATTACACTATTCCAGAATTCAGACTTGATCCTTATCATGTTGGATTTGAATATGCTAAGGGAAGGGTCAATCTTAGGCCCCTTTCTCTTTTTAATCTACATAAATGACCTTCCCTTTATGGTAGAGAAAATTGCAGATATAGTGCTGTTTGCGGATGATACTTCGTTAGTGTTTAAAATTGGACGTCAAAGTAATCAATTAGACGATGTAAATTGTGCTATGTCTGCAATATTAAATTGGTTTACATGTAATAACCTATTATTAAATTCCAGCAAAACAAAGTGTATAAAATTTACACTTCCTAATGTAAGACTAATAAATACACAGTTATTGCTTAATGACGAAATAGTAAATTTTGTTAATGATACAGTTTTTTTAGGTATAACAGTGGACTCGAAATTACAATGGGGGCCCCATATTTCAAAATTGGCCAGTAGACTCAGTTCTGCTGCATATGCAATTAGAAGAATTAGGCAATTAACAGACGTGGCGACGGCTAAACTTGTATATTTTAGTTATTTCCATAGCATAATGTCTTATGGCATACTGCTGTGGGGTAAAGCAGCCGATATAAATACTATATTTGTTTTACAAAAGAGAGCCATACGTTCTATTTATGGTATGGGTTCAAGAGAGTCATTACGTCAGTGCTTTAAAGACTCAAATATCCTCACAGTTACTTCACAATACATTTATGAAAATATTATGTATACACGGAAGAACTTAGCGAGTTTTAAAAAACTCAAAGACTGTACAAGTAGAAACTTACGCAATATAAATAAGCTTATTTTACCTAAATGCCGTCTGCACAAAATCAGTAATTCATTCTATGGTAATTGCATAAGATTTTATAATAAACTGCCGGAATCTGCATTAAATCTGACAGAGAGGCAATTCAAATCTTATATTAAACAATTTTTATGTAAGAAAGCCTATTACAGGATAGACGAATTCATAGATGACAACATATCAAGTAAATAATTAGTTTATTAGCATACAACGTTATAATTTTTTTTTCTCATTGCTTTCTTGATTTAATTGATTAATTTTAGAAATATGAAAGCGTAGCGGTTTTTTGTATTAATTGCCGCATGCATTCTTATGTAAAATGTGAATACTATAACTATCAGATGGCAATTGTGAGTAGCTTTGACGTGGTCTAGTGTTTTGAGTAGTCATGCTCACTAAAATGTCCAGACTTGTGGCGGCGTGGTGGGCCGGGTCATTGGGCTCCCTAAAATATGGTCGAGCGCAGTGATGGCTGGCTCATCCGTCATACTCGTGAACGGGTGCTGCTTGTAGGGACTGGTCTGCTCTAATCACTATGACTGATTTCCTCTTATTAATTGTTTAACCAGTTGGTTATGTATTCAATTTTTTTTTTTCTTTTTGAGTATTTAATTGAATTAGTGCTAATTGGTGGTTTGTATTCACACAATTAAACTTAAAAATGTAAAATAATAATAAAATTATTTAAAAGAGCATCACGCAAGTATCTTGCTCGTTCTTCTTGTGATGAGACAGCTTTCCGAACGAGCGGTAAATTAAAAAAAATGTAATGACTTTTCAAAAGTGCTTCAATGTAAGTTTATTTGAATAAATGATTTCTATTCTATTCTATTCTAGAAGAAGACTTCCTAATAAAGTCAAAACATTTATCGGAAATGGTACAACACAGTGAGTTTGTTATTTTCCTGTTATATATGTATATAGATAAAGCTGTTTACAAAATCTTTATGTGAAAATTAAAAACACTAGAAGTGACAGTAAAAATACTCTGGCAAAAAACTCCGGCCCTCGAAAGTATTTAATCTGACCCGCGGAAGGTCCATCGACAGTGATAGTATACGGCCTGCTATAATTACATTTTGACAGTTGAGAAATATAAAGTAGAAAATATTATAGAAAATCAAAAACAATTCCATATATCTCATACGCCTACCCTACGAATAAAAATTAATTATTATTGAAGGTAATTTGTAACTTTTGTATGTAATGCTGTAATGTTTTTATAATATTATGATTAAAATCTTTAACACAAAATGCATTTTTTCTATAATTCTGGCCCTACTCTGGAATTTCTTAATCTTGCCCCCCCCCCCCCCCCCGTTAAAAAAGACCACTGCACTAGAATAAGCTATAAGTACCTTAAGTATGTAGTCATTAATGTCATTGAATAGATTACTCCATGTAAATCCACATTTCTTTAGAGTATTTTTCGTTAACACAGCTCCCAAAGCATTCCTTGAAAGAAAATCTTTTAATGATTCTGCACTTCTCTTTCGGTCTGTCGCCCGTGAAGCAGTAAGCCCAACGCAGAGATCTCGTACAGTGTTTTCGAAATCCATATTTATTAAAAATATTCAACACCTACTTTAAAAATGACTAGAGGTTTAAACTATTATAACCACTCCTTTTTTAATGTAAAATATCTCTCTCTCTCTCTGTCATAGATCATGTTTTTCTTTCTAAGTCTTCAGATCTGTAATATTATACAAAAATAGAATTTGTAATAATATTGTTTTCTACAAATATGGCTGATTCATAAATGAGGGAAAAAGATTGTTAGGAATAGAGCCTAAAATCCCCATAGTTAGCCTGTTAAGTTGACCATGATGCAGTGCTTCATAGAAATATCATAATTATTCTTGGTGAATTTGTTACAATGGACCAACTATCCTGGCTTTACCCTCACCTAACATCTCAACATATATATACCAAATCTACATAAATAAATAGTTACTTATTAAAGGGGCTACCTGCCCTGAGTCCAACCTTGTCTTTCTCATTGGTAATTCACAAAAACATGCCAATGCATATTCTATTTTCATCACTTTAAAAAAATATTCTTATGTTCCTAAACTAATAAATATTAAATTTGTATCTACCATAATAAAATAAAAAATATAGAGAAACAATTTAACTGTACAGTTTATCTGATAGTAGCTAACCATATAATTATGGTATATTTATAGTAAAATATTTGACAGGGTATATTGTTAACAATATGGACTAATCTTTCCAAAATGAAAGACTCCTTACCTATACGTTAAGTCGATAAAGCCTTAAGAGATAACAAACTGAAATTTATAAATTAGTAAATATTTTCAAAAACATTAACGAAAGCGATACAGCCACCCCTTAATGAAGGAAATTAAAAAAAAAAGAAACAAAATTTGAATGTGAAACGTGACAACAAAGTACAAACATGAGTGTAAAGTAAGAACAAAAAATTCCAAAATCTTTAAGTGTAAAAATAAAATTTTTGTCTTTTAATACGGTCGATTTGAAGTTTAAAGAAGCGACGGAAACATTAAAAACAAAACGTAGTTTGAATTTGACAATTATATCTGACAGTCTGTCAGATCTAGTGTTGCTATTAATGACTGGGAATTATTAATTTAGAAATTTATAAAATGTAAAGGTTGATTCTTATCTTAGATTACAAATGCTTCGAATAGTCATCATATCAGCCGTTATCTGTTATTTGCCATTTTTTACTAGAGGGAGTCTTTGTACACAAGTTGTTTGCTTGGTCACCTCTGTCCCATTCGTATTTCTACCGTAAATTGTGTTTGCACGGCTGTGTTTCAGTTTAAAGGGTGCGATATGGCAGTGAATTTACGGGGTACAGAGGGATAACACCTGAATCCTCAGGAATGGCAACGCATGAGGGGTATCACGGGCGAAACAGTATAGTCTGTTATGTCCATGGTACGGCTGATGTGTATAGGCGACGGTTATCACTTTCCATAAGGTGAGCCGTCAGCTTGTCTACCATTCTAAGTTAAATAAAAAAATCTGCTAAAGTACTCTAAACTTATAAACTGTCGTATGGGATAGTTCTGAGCCACCTGTATTGGGGGTAACGGATTGTTAGTAAAGAAGTCTAATAGCCCTCTTGCTAGCAATATACCCCCTCAGGTCGACCTCTCTGACCTGCATTCAATCTCATCTATCATCTTTCACTGGTGCCCCGCCAGTGTATATCGATTGCGCAGGCGCGGATACCATTATGTTTTCATCTTTTAAAAAAAGACACCTACATCACTGGCATTGCATTTAAGGTCTCCATCTACTGAGCGTCGTCCTCCACTGCGAGTATAGTATTCATGTCGTCCAGGGATTCCGCTATGATTTCTATATCATCGGCAAATCGTACGCGACTGATGTAGTTGCCATTTATGTTTATACGATTTTTTTTCCAGTCTAGGAGTTTGAAAACATCTTGTAATGAAGCTGTGAAGCGATGAAGAGATTCGAGGATGTGACGTCACTCTCTCTTACATTTTCTGCACTTGGATGAGTTTCTATTGGTGTTTAGCTTAATCTTTGGTATTAGATGAGTGTGTCAACTTAATTTAAAAACCATATCTTTTTAAATTAAAACCGGCCAGTAATTTATAGTTCCTTAATTTCATACAATAAAGACTCATACAGACATACATATCATACACACAAGCATTCATCAATCTACCAATCAAGATTGGCCTCCCATACCACTCACACAGTACTCAAACTCTGCTCTCAGGAATCGCTACAATATGGGAGGTGTCTTTATATTTCAAAGTCACCTCACAAAGTTCCACAGTTTCTCTAATGAAGAAGTATCTCACGTTAATATGATTCGTGCATTGATGATGAATCGAGTTCTCTGCGATAGCAATGGCCGATTGAGTATAACTAAAGATAGTGACTGGTTCCTTTCTGGTATCAAAGATTTTGACGAGAAACCTGCACAGAAATGCTACCTCTTTTGAAGTTTCCGACAATGATACGTATTCTGCTTCACTTATTGAAAGTGCGATTGTGCGTTGTTTCTTTGTTTCCCAACAAATAGCTCCTCCTTAGTAGACAAATCCAGAGTGCGATTTGCTTTTCTTCGTCTCCAGCTTGAACAGGATCAACATACCCTTGGATAACTGGCAATGTCATTCCTTTATTATATTTTATGCCATAGCTCTTTGTTCTTTTTGAATAATGCCACACTCTCTTTGTTGCAAGTCAATGTTCCTCAGTGTAACAGGCATTAAACTGACTGATAGAACTGACTGTGTTGGCTATATTTGATCTTGTACACACTGCTAGGTATAATAATGAGCCTACGATTCCTTGAAACTCAATCTTGTCATCCGGTTTGTGATCCGGTGCTGGTCTAGTCAGTCTCTGGCCTGGTGCAGACAGAGTAGCAGCCACTTTGCAATGAATGAATGAATGAATGGTTTATTTTCTTTTCACAAAAGGTAGTAAAAAGTAATAACTTGAGACACAATTAAATATGTGAGACCAATTTTATGAGAGACTTGTGCCTTCAGTAGGTTTCGCGTGTGTGTGTGTGTGTGTGTGTGTGTGTGTGTGTGTGTGTGTGTGTGTGTGTGTGTGTGTGTGTGTGTGTGTGTGTGTGTGTGTGTGTGTGTGTGTGTGTGTGTGTGTGCGTGTGCGTGTGCGTGTGCGTGTGCGTGTCCGTGTGCGTGTGAGTGTGAACTCGTGTGCGTGTGCGTGTGCGTGTGCGTGTGCGTGTGCGTGTGCGTCTGCGTGTGCGTGTGTGTGTGTGCTGTGTATATGCTAAGATATATAAAAATGTAGAATTATTAAAATAAATAACGTAGAGACCTTAAACTGATGGAGTCAAAAGACCTTCTATTTGCTGGTAATTAAGAGATTTTAGATATTTAATAATTGTTTTTTTTTTCAACTTGATCTATGTAAGGGATATATATTCAACAAGTAATTAAATTTATTGTAAATGTAGGGGCTAAGAAAGCAGAATTTTTGAGAGAGACTAGTGCGGAAAGCAAGAGAACGACAGACAGAACTCTTTCTACGCTTATGACTATTTAGATTTGGATCGTATTTTTATTTTATTAGACGATTGTTAATAATACGTTCCAAGATAAAAAAAAGATGTCAGGATGGAAATAGGCCTAAAAGTACTAACTGTATTATTCATAGTATTGGTGTAATATTTGTAGGTATTATGTGCACTAGACATAGTGCCACGCATTCATGGACTATAACAGAAGATTCGATCCCGAAGCACATGGAAACTGAATTATGATTATCATGTGGTCTAAACATGTTGAGTTATGAAATCGAAATGTATGACCAGGGAGAAGACAAACACTTATTAGTAGCGTTGGACACAATATCAATGTTAATGCCAGTACAGAGTATTATGTTTTTGTATTTAGAAATCTTTTTAGTAGCCCATCAGTAGAAATAATAAAATTGGTAATGTTGAGATGACTAGGAAGACGATATATACCAATTATACATGTTTCGGAATTAATTTTTAATACCAGGCAATTAGCGTTATTAATGCTGGGTTCCTCAAAAGTAATTGCTAAAGATTTCTTGTAATAGATTACTACACCTTCATTTTGAGAATTATGAGAAGTTGTGTAACTATTATATATGCGACCAGATCTGGGGTTATTTTTGCCAATTGCAACCAACATTCAGTGAGAACTATAATATCCCAGTCTATTTTAGATATGTAGATAAGGGTGTTATAATTATTTATGTTACAATTTATACCTCTTATATTCTAAGAAATTAGTAGAAGAATGATTGTTAGTTATATGTTTATTCACGCTATCAATGTCGCAAGAAATGGATTTAGCCACGGTTAGTGAATCCAGACCCAAGTTATTTTCTTCAAAATCCATACAATCCATTGTCGGATACTGAACATTAATGTTTAAAATAGACAAACATCCCATTTAATAAGCCACGATATTTGGATATTTTGAATAATATGAACAATAAACTGATGACATGCGTTGTGATATACTAAGCTAGTGTCTATAAAAGTATGCAGATAAATTGTGAAGTGTAAGGAGATGAGTATGTATCTGTAATTTGTTTATTTTGTTGTCCAAGCGGCAAGAAACTTTTTATTTTTCACGTGTTCATGGGCAACATAGAATAGTCTTCGTACTTTGTAGGTTAAATATTCTGATATAATAATAATCTTAGTCGAGCTATTTTTACCAATTAGAGAAGTATTTAATTGCTGTTCTTTATTTTCACGAAATTTTATGTTACTTTTCTTGTTTTGGATCAGAATATTTCCTTTATGTCGCTGTCTGTCAAGGAGGTTTCAATGTAATTTTTACTGTGTATGAATATCGCACTTGCTACTATTTGTTATTGAAAATGAAACAGGATTTTCTTAATACCACGAAGGTGATAAATAAGCATACAGTCCTTCTGATGAGAAACCTATGGACGACTGTAACACTAAAGGTGTCACATGTTCGTTGCCGATTCTAAAGAAACCTGAATACCGTTATTGAAGAACCTCTTTATGTTTTTTATGTTAAGAGTGATCGAATAGAGACTTTAATGTAGTGTGAGAAAGTCTTTATTCGCTCGCTTTGTAAGACCCAGTGGGCCGTCTGTTACGATTTCAATTAGTGATTTGTAGTAGACTTTATAATGCAACGTTATGAGTTAGTTAGTTAGAATTATGTACGATTTCACGGAGAATATAATATTTCACTAGTTATTTGTGAAATATTCCAAACCTAATACGTAGTATGACTTATTTAAGCACTGACAGATTACCTTGGTAGTTTGTTACGAAAAAATCAAACAAATTAAAACCTCCTTTTAAAAGACACTTAATTCGTACTATATAAAATTAAAAAAAAATGCTGACTTCATGCGGATAAAAAATACTTTTGATCACATACACTGTTATATAAATTATATAAATTAAACGAATTTTATGAGTTTTGTTTTTTAAAAACAAATATATCTTGTTTTATATATAATTTTTAGATTTTAATTAAAGTTTTAATTTTTTTTAATATAATATACAATGGCATTACCTTGGCATATTCCAATTGAAGCAGTACCTAAAGCAAATGAAAATTATATACCACCTCAAGCATCGTTACTAAAACATTACTGCAAATTAGATATCCACAAAAACCCCTGTGAAGAATTACAAACTGGTCTTATGTGTGATATTGGAATTCATAATCGAGAACCAGCTACAATACAAAGATTAATAGCATCCGGAATGACTGTTGCTAGACTTAATATTCGTGATATGGAACCAGATGCTTGTGCCCAGTTAATTCAGAGCATAAGACAAGCTGTATTCAATTACAGTGCAGAATTGCAATATGTTTATCCCTTGGCTGTTATGGTGGATGTTAGAGGGCCGGACATCGCAACAGGTGATTTAAAAGGTGGCCCGCAATCAAACATAGAGCTTATTCAATACGCTACAATCAGGTTAACTACTGATACTAGCTGGCAAAAAAGTGGCACAGCTGATTGTCTGTATGTCGGATACGATCATCTTACTGAATTACAACCAGGTGATATAGTTTATATTGACAGTTTAACTCCAGGAAAAATTAAATTAGTCGTTTCAGAAGTTGGAGACGATTCCATTGAATGTTCAATAGCATTCGGTGGTATAATAGGTGCAAAAATGACTGTACGGATTTCTCAAGTTCCATATGATGTAGAAAATGTACGTAATGGACAAGGAGTTAGTTTACAATCATTGTTATATAGCGATATTTCACAACAAACCTTTGAACATATGGAGGAACAAATAGCATGGGCCGTTGCTTCAGATGTAGATGGCGTGTTGGTGCCTAATGCTCAAACTACTTATGATATTCGTCAAGTAAGAGACATATTATCTGAAAAAGGAAAACATATCCTTGTTTTCGCGTGTATTGATTCTGTATTAGGATTTGATAATATTGATAAAATTTTATCTGAAGCAGATGGTATTTATTTGGATCGGTGCGTATTAAGTACAGATTTACCAGTAGAAAAAATATTTATTGCCCAAAAAATTATTATCGCTAAATGTAATGAAATAGGAAAGCCTTGCTTATGTAAAGCAGTAATAAATGAGCAGATTCCTACTTTATGTGTTACTGATATAGCTAATCTAGTATTAGATGGCGTAGATGTGCTGTCTTTGGAACTTAATTATGATTCGCCTTTAAAAAAATTTGCACCTTCTTATGATGCTATACGTATAGCTGAACACTGTTTGGCTGCTGCTGCAGTAATATGTAGACACGCAGAACGAATAATCTGGCAACCAAAGGTGTACGGTAATATGGAATTGATGCAAAGTCCTCTTGAAGAACCTACAAAAGCTGTATGTGTTAGCGCCGTAGAACTCGCAATGCGTTCACGAGCAGTTGTAATTATTTGTTTGACAAATTCTGGACGTACAGCTAAAAGTTTAGCACACGCAAAACCTACGTGTCCCATTGTAGCTGTTACTCGCGCTTGTCATACAGCAAGGCAATTGCGCTTTTGGAAAGGGATTCGCGCAGTGCACTATTTTGAGGTAGCTAAAGGTAGTTGGAGTTCTGAAAACGACTCTCGGATACATGCCGCACTTGATTATTGCAAAGCAAAACGTATTATACGTGCCGGTGATGCATATGTAATTGTTACTGGGTCGCGTCGCGGCGTAGGTTATTGCGATTCTGTTCGACTTTTATATGCAAGCGCTCGTGATACAGTTATAATAGAATAAAATAAATTAGAAAAAAAAAATTAATGTATTCCTTGTTACTTATACATAAATTAGTTTTGCATAATATATAGTTTTATTTTGTAATTGTAAACAAAGTAAGATTATCTTCCAAAAAAACTGACTTCATTTACAAAACTAGTTATCTTAATTTAAAAACTCAATTACTAAACCGATTTTTACAAATAATCTATAAACTAATCTGTAAGTTTATCCTTTTAAATAAAAACAGAATTTTCAAATTCGTTTGCAACTGACAGAGTTATTAGGTAACAAACATTAAAAAAAAACAATCGAATGGAGAAATTCCTTCTTTTATAAAGTCTCGTGAAAGTTCTATAGAATTCTAAATATCTTAGGTATCTTATATAGTGTCGCCATAAAAATGCAACTTTTTTAATTAAATGTACGAAATGGGGTCACCGTATTTTCCTTTATTATTCAGGATATGGGAGAAATTACATTAAAGTTTAAATTAAAAAATAAAAACGATACGAAACGAAAGCACAAGGTAAACTGCATAAAAATTTATAATGATATTTATTTTTACTGATTACTTTGGTTTATATTTAAGTATAAACATAAAATATGCTTTCATTTTATGTCTGTTTTTTAATACCTTACTATTGGAGAATTATAAAAGAAGACATCTTCATACATCAATAATTCTAAAACTTAACAATCGTAACGCTCGTGACCATACTAAACAATCTTGAAAAAAAATATGGCGCTTTTCCTTGTTTAAATATGGATATACAAACTTTTTTCTGACGATCAGGCTCTGTGACTTAGTTCATTTGCCTTTCCCGTCGTGGAAAATTGTTAAGAACAAGATAAGTTTGTTCATAGATAAATTGATAGCAGTTTGGATAGCACTATTTAAGAAAAATTATACATTGTGTTTTGGTTTAGAAAATATGTATCAAATTGAATTAGACAAATATCAATTTCACTAACTAAATGTTGAGACGTTTTTGACATTCAATTTAGGCTCTATTTATATAATCATAAGTAAATACTTTAATTATATAGACAAAGCATGGAATATAAAGAGTCAAATTTTAGTCGGACAACTATCAAATTAACTGACATTTTTTTAAATTAAAACAAACGCACATTTTTCTGTGTTGCAACTAATTTGATTAAAAATTTCCCAGGTTTTTAAACTGGAATTAAGTGTGTTTTTTTTCGGATATAATATAAATACAGAAATATACAATTTGCTTCCAAATTAATATACATGTATTAAAAATTGCGGCCATTTCCAATTATTTAAAACGAAAACATATTTTAGGTTTTTACTCAGATATGGATCTTAATATTTAATAAACTGGGCACATGGAAAGATGATGAGACGAGAATGGTACGGTACGGTGGAGACTACGATGTAGGGCGGCAAAATCTTAAAGGAGGGATTGTTTATGATGAATTCCTTCTTCCAAAAGCGGCTACAAAGATAATGGACCTGGGCCAGCCCCGACGGATAAACAAAAATATGAGATAGACTTCATCATTACGACAAATCACCATTTGTTCAATGATGTCTTAGTGATCAATAGGTTTAAAACCGAAAATGATCCCCGAATGGTACAGACATTGAACCTGAATATTAGAATAGAAAGGTTTCGTCTAATGAAGTACGGAAAGTCGAAGATCTTCGTATGCCCTTATCGAAAACCCGAGAGTTTTCAACTCGAATTGTCGACTCGCTTTCAGTGTCTGATGAACTGTGAACCGGACTATATCAATAATAAGTTTTCCACTAGGTGACTGTCCAAGCAGTGGAAACTAAAATTTGCAAGCCCCAACGTTCAAAAAGAATCCAAAAATTCTCTAATCGCACTCTAGATCTTATGAGGAAACGGCGTGAATTATGGTCCGTCTTCAATGTCTGCGTTAGAATATAGGCAGCTTAATAGGCAAATCTCCAAATGTATACGGCGTGATATACGCCAGTGTAATACTGTATACCTTGAATAGGCAATAGAGCGAAATCAAGTCGCCAAAGTGCTCGCTAGAGGTTTGGCTATTGAGCGAAGCTAATAAAGTCGAAGACCAAGAAGTTGAGTTCTGTGGACAGCTGTATAATTATCATTATAAAACTACCATATGACCTTATTGTACCACATTTTTTGCAATAAAATTCATTCATTCATAAAACGTCGTTAACACCACATACTAATGCGAATAACGACCAAAGAGCTAAAGTCACCCGATACTATAACGATGACATCTTGGACATCGATTTACAGGAAATTGAAATGGCTCTCAAACAACTTAAAAAATTGCAAGGTACGGAGGGAGAACTGAATTACAGCAAAGCTTCTGAGAGCGAGTAAAAAACCGGTACTTCTAGTCCATCAGAGGCTATTTAATTTCGTCATCCATAACGGTGTTACGCCCAAGGCGTGAAGCAGAAGCGCGGTAGTCCTTTTCTTCAAGAAGAGTGATATTCTATTAAAGAACTATAAACCGACATCCCTTCTGAATCGCGTTTACGTACTGTTTTCGAGAGTTTCCTTTTTTTTTAACTAGGGTGAAAATCTTCAGAAAGAGACCCATCCGCCGGCGGGACGACGGATGGGTACTGTGGGATTTTTACCTACTAAAACACCCCGGTATTCCTCTCAGCGCCGTGTGCCCGTGCCGACGGCTCGCGGGTGCAGTCTTGGGCGTTACCAGCAGCGCCGCTCCCCTATGGGACCACTCCAAGTAGTGCGCCGGGAATACGCAGCGCACCCCTCCCGGATCTCTAGTCTCGTGTTGGGCTTTGAATGTATCCCGCCATCCACATCCCGGAGATCTACTTCAGAGCCAAGGGACACCCAACGGCGCTAGAAAGCGCCGCTAGGTGTCTTTCCGCTCCCGCGGCCATCTCGTACCGGAGCACGAGCCTTCCGCAGTCGCCTGCATTTGGCCATGCCACCCACGACGTGGTCCGCCTTCCGGCTCGCTGCGGCCCAAACGCCGCACTTGGGTGATGACGCCACACATTTGGCGGACTTGTGGCCCGCTTGTCCGCAGCGGAAGCAAAGGATGCCTCCGCTGGTGTCGACACTCGCGGTTCACCGCTGTGCTACATGCCCGAGAAGCAGGCAGCGGTAACACCGCATGGGCCGCGGGTCCAGAGCGTGCACCCGCGCCATCACCCAGCCTACCTTGACACGGCCGCCTTTGACCAGTGCCTTAGCGGCACCGACCGGGCAGCGTACCCAGGCGGAGTCAGAAACCGAGGGGACGCGACGGATGTCCCCCGTTTTTACAGAGGCCTCGTCGCAAACTCTCTCCTCACTTTCAGGGTACTTCCCTCGATAATAAGTCAAGTCTGGGGATTCTTGGCGTCGATAAATCTAGCGGCGTCCAGTTTTGCGGTCATCTAGAGGAAAAAGCTAAGGTAGTTTCCAAAAAGTTGGGGGTGCTCAATAGGATGAGACGGTATTTCACGCCGGAACACCGCCTAAAACTGTATAAAGCTCAAGTGAGGCCACACATGGAATACTGTTCTCACCTGTGGGCAGGAGCGCCACAGTACCAACTCTTTCTGTTAGACCGCATTCAAAGTCGGGCACCTCGAATTGTTGACGATCGGCGTCTTACTGTCCGACTCGACCCACTGAGACTGCGTAGAGATGTTGCATCTCTGTGCATCTTCTACCCAATTTATCATGGGGAGTGCTCTGAAGAATTGTTCGGATTAATACCTGCTGCTGATTTTCACCATCATACAACCCGCCATAAACTAAAATTTCATCCCAACCATGTGGACGAGTGGCGGTCCTCCACCGTGCATTTTTCAAGGCACTTTCTCCCACGCACAACCACTCTTTGGAATCAACTTCTAGCAGCAGTATTTCCGAACCGATACAACATCATAACCTTCAAGAAAAGAGCATATTCCTTTTTAAAAGGCCGGCAGCACACCTGCAATGCCGTAGGTGTTGTGGGTGACCATGGGCAGCGGTAGTCACTTACCATCAGGTGAGCCGCATGCTTGTTTGCCTCCTGTGTTGTAAAAAAGAACCCCTGCGCGCGCAACTGCGGCAACGACTTCGGCAGGTGTAGCCGAATCGTCAAGGTCTCCCAAACGCAACTCGGCCGATTTGATCGGCCCGGAGACCTTGATTGCACCGTCGGGCAGGATTTCTGTCAGCTTGGAGGCTAGCAGATCAGCCTTGTCACCGGAGTTGGCGCCTAGTACCTCTAGAATACGTGCCCCTGTGACGCACAGTTTGAACCTGACCGCCTCGATGCCCAGCTGGTTAAGCGGAAGTTTCCTCCGCGCCTCAGCCATTATCGAGTGGTAGGTCACTCCTCTGTCTTCAGCTCCCGGCTGCAAGGCAAGTATCACTGCCGAGGACTGGGGTCCCTAAACCACCTCCTCTTCTTTTTAAGCGCCTTTTTACTGGGAGCCGTCCCTGCCTTCCCCGCCTGTTGAGCGGATCTCGTTCGAGTCTTGGTCCCAGAGCGACCACCACGCCGGACAACCGTCGCTCACGTCTCCGACCCTGGTGGCGGAGCACTACTAGGGCCAGCTTCGACAACGAGAGTCAGCTGACCTGTTGAGGCCTGCTTCACTTTGGCAGCCTTTTCTGCCCTAACTGCGAGAGGCTGCGAGGCGCTCTTTGGCGCTTTCCTCTTCTTGGGCAGCTTTTGGCTGCCTATTTGCGAAAGCCGCTCCTCAATTCCGGCGAATCAACTGCCAAAAAGTTTGCTGATTTGCCGGATGATACGTGCCTCCATACCCTCATCGGGTGGAGGGGCCGCACCCAGCTGTAAAGAGGCCGGGGCGGCAGGCGAAACCACCGCAGCCACAGGCGCCGTAGGTGTTGGTACGGCTGCCCTAGCCTCCGCCAGCTCCTGCCTCACCTTACGCAGGTCCTGGCGGTCCAGCACGACCTCCTGCCGCAGCTCGGAGTTTGCTTTTTGCGCCTCCTTTAGGTTGCGCTCAAGCGCCTGGTTACGCGCCATGAGCGCTGCCGTATCAGCGTTGACGTTGGATGACAGCGCCC